GATTGTTGAAAATTTTCATTCACATTAAGCTTTACAGTATATCCTGTGAAGCACTTTGAGACGTCTCAATGACATGGTGAGGTGCTGTCTCAAATGCAAGAATTATTAAAAAAAAGTACTGAACTCAAACAACATAAAAGCATAGTCACTGAATGGTGATATTTATCTGTTGAAACAGGTGAAGATGCCAAAACTTATCAGAAAAGAATGTTCAGCAGCTACAAGTCATAAAATTCAGGAAAATAAGAACTTCATGGAAGAATTAGTTAACCGTGAGTGGTGGACGAATACAAGTGAGAGCATCACATGCACGTCAGGTGCTGAGCGCATCCAAGGAGAGGGCAGGTTAAATGACCATCATAGCCGGAGTTTGGATCACATACAGCCAATTTCTCCACCTATGCATCCATCTAGCAAAAGGGCGCTGACCAACCCACCCCCTGTGAGCAATCAGGCAACTAAGGGTAAGTTGATGCATTTTCTCTCAACTCAGCACATCCTGAAGTAGCAAATCCCCACTATCACCAGAATCAGCACATCCTGAGCAAGTCCACCCTCTTCCCAAGCATGCTCTGAACCACAAAACAAGAAAATCTCTGGCTAAAATTTCATTTTTAAAGGCTACTTCAAAGTGCTCACCAGTGATTTAATATATTTCAATAAAACGCAACTTGTAAAGTCTGCTAAAGACAAATTTGTGTGAACCATTTGCTGCACCAAAACAGGATGCTAAATTTGGATATTTAGTTTTGCTTTGACGATAATCTGATGCCAGTTGCCTCCTATTCCAAATATCTTGATTTTTGCCAGTAATCTCTTGTATGGCACCCTATCAATGAAGTGTAAGAGGCAATCCTGATTATTTTGTGGATGCGGCTGCAATTAACAGATCAGGAACTCGCTGGTTTGCATCTTAGTGAATGCTGAGTTTGCAATTGACATCTTGATTTGCACAGATCAGCTGAATTGGGCCTGACCTTTCCGGTGTTAGGAAGGAGAAAAACAGTGGCTTCCTGCTTCTGGTAATTCCACAGCCCCATCTGGGTGGAGAAAGCCTTCTGCAGCTGAGTGGTCCACTGAGACTCACACGTGAATAAGGACCACTTGGGACAAGGACAAGTGGATAATGGATCACCATTTGTCCCATTCAGTGTGTACCACTGCTGCTGTTTGCTTTTGTTTCTTTTTTTTCAATTCCACTTTTCAGCTTATGCATTGTATCAATTCATGTATTGCTACTCTGGTCTTATTTAATTCCTGTTTGAGTAAGTTCTGTCGATTGACTTCAATGACTTCTCACCAAGTAGCAATTTAGAGTGAAGATAGTTACACCACTAAACTTCTTTGGGACTTGGAAGTCAGCTGGTGGTTGGAGATAGTTTAAAATGGCTGTGTTTGTTTTTTCACACTTTAATGGCGTCATTTCTGTTCTCATAGGCAAACGTCCAAAGAAGGGGATGGCGACTGCAAAGCAGCGACTGGGAAAGATTCTGAAGCTGAACAGAAGTGGCCGCCTCTTCCTCTAGAATAAGCGTGCAGTGACACTAGCTCTGTCCAGAACAGGATCCAGACGCTGTTGGTTCCTTGTTAAACACATGAATGCTCGTGCGGTCAGGTGGGCACAGCCTGAGGACGCATTGTGGATGTGCACTGTGTAAGAACCGGCGAGCAATAACGGAGAAGAGAGAGGGAGAAAATGGAGAGGAATCTTAAAACAAAAAGTTCAGGGTTTGCTTATATTTTTGAAGAGAGTAGTTTTCTTGTTCTGTCGAAGTCGTTGTTTCTCTCGATGTATAATTTATTTCATCCAAATTTATTTTTTGCCCATTAATTTGACAGCTTTGAATGATTTTTTTTTAAAAATAGCTATTTATTGAGACATTTCAGTTCAGGTGAATAAGTTGGAGTTAATCATGTTCAGGCTTTTTCCACCCAATGAATTCATGACTTTTTAATTGTTAAAGTGAACAAACTGCTTGCAAAAGTTTTCAAGGGGTTTGCTGTTGATGCTTCTTGAATCTAGACTTCCGGAGTCCTTTGTCTCAGAACAGTGACAGGTGCTGCTTCCTTAGGATAAAGGAAAAGCTGATTCCAAGACATATGAGGGAGCTCATGCTGCCTTGTCTGAGCATATTCCTAATGCAACAGTCATGGATCTGAATCCGTTTTGTACAGCCTCGCAAACATCACATTGGACCAATATTTTGCTTGAGATACTGACTCCTATGGATAACTGTTCTACGAGTGATACTTCAGCATACTGTTTCATCAGCCCTAAATGATTATTTTTCTATTTTTGTTTGAAAGCCAACATTCAGCAGGATGCGGGAGAGCTGTTTCATACACTCTTCAACTTACTGCTGGACCAGCTACACAATCCACAAATAGTAAGTAGGAGTACTTTTGCTTTGCAGTTCCAGAGTCCCAAAGCTGGCATGAAAGGTGAATTTGAAGACTCACTTTTCACCGACTCCAGACATCACCTGTGTCAATGTGCATTCTACATTTGTGTGGATGCCTTGACATTGCATAAATTTCACAATGACGTAATGGTGTTGTATTATGTTGCTCAGTCTTTCGAGCTCCAAAGAGAAAAGTCAGTTTATCAAGCCTTTCTCTATAACAGCACTTCCTCAATCCAGGCAACTTCCTGGTGAAACTTGCTGCACTGTCTCCAGCACCTGAACATCTTTCCTATTATTAGGAGCCTTTTTCCTGTATTCTGTTCCCCAGCTATAAATCCCAAGTTCCCAATGACGTTTTAATGGCCTCATCCACCTGGGTCACTGCCTTCAGCGACCTGTGAATCTGTACAATACTATATGAATTTACATTAAATCACACTTTCACATCAGGAGGATGTCTCAAAGTGCTGTACTCCTCAATGCCTCAGTTCTTCTACCCCTTTCAGATTTACCTGCTTCAAGTTAGATATTCTTCCTGTTTTCCCCCTGAAATGACTTACCTAACATCTTTTTTTATTGAACTCCATCTGCGACTTGTCTGCCCATTCAGTCATCCTATCATTATCTGTACCTTATTTTGATCTTCCTTGGTATTTACTATCAACTGCAAACTTCTCCCTCGATTCCTAGGTCCAAATCATTTATATATAGAGTGAAGGGTAGTGGCCCCAGAACAGATCCCTGAGGAACACTACTCACCACATCTATCCAATTTGATTAATTGCCCTTAACCTCTAGTCTGTTTTTCCCTTGTAGCCACTTATCAATCCATTTGACCATCTTTAATATGCCAATATGCCCTGACCTTAGCCGGAGGTCGCTGTGTGATACCTTGTGAAAAGCAGTCTGAATCCCTGTTCACCACATCTCCTGCATGTCCCTCATCAACAGTTTTTGTTGTGTATCTTTACTGCTCACATTCTTGCATTCTCTTTGGGAGTGCACACCCCACATGGAATTTCTCATTTAAGGATTATTCTTATTTTTTTGTTGCACTCATCATGAACGATTGCTTCTCACATTGTTGCTCTCAAGATATGTGTGCTACTTGCATTGTTACTGTCATTGCAGATGTTTGAACCTCACATTGTTGGTCTTATTAATGAAGTGTGCACCTCGCATTGCTACACTCATTGTGGATGGATGCTGCTTGCATTGTTACTCTCATGGCAGATGTGTGCTCCTGGCATTATTAATCTCATTGCAGAAGCGTGCGCCTCATATTGTTACTCTCTAATAAATCATTGCAAATCCATGCTCCTCATACTGTTACTCTCATTGCAGATGTGTGCTCTACATATTATTTATTATTACTCGTACTGCGAGTGTGTGTGCTCCTGACATTGTCAAGTTTTCCACATCTATTTGTTTGGTTCATGTCCTTAACAGTCTGCAGAAATGAAGGCTCTGTATGAAATCAGAGTGGAGCAGTTTGTGAAGTGTCAGGTGTGTGGTGTTGTGAGCGAGAAGCAGAGCCGCATGATCAGCCTCCCTCTGCAGGTTCCTGAAAACCATCCACATCTTAATCTGGTAGGTGTAACCAGGTACAATTTTATAGTGTTTAGAAAAATAGAACTACAGAGATAAGCAATAAACAATGGGATGAGTTGTAGTAAGTTTAGTAGAGCTAGACAACCACATATTTCTCTGCGCTGATGCTGAGATCCTGATCCTGAATTGATGCTAAAATGTTGTTGAAAATTTTCAGTTGTGCACATATATACATTGTAACATTATTACATGGTTTTACTCAAGTGCAGGTATAAACTAACTATGATACAGATAATTACATGAATAAAGAAAGACACATAAACAGAGTAGTAAGTCAGAGGGACATACATTGAGCAGGCAAGAAGAGGGATCACAATGTAAGTCAGACTTCCAATTATGAGTACAGTACCTACTCCAGTACCTAAGCACACAACAACAACAACAACTTGGATTTATAAAGCACCCTCCACACGGACAGCGCCTCAGAGCGCTTTACAGTAACGGATCCTGGCGCCGAGCCAGGGGGATGGGGAGAAAGGTGACCAAAGGCGCGGTCGAAGAAAAGGTCTTCAGCAGAGACCTGAAAATAAGAAGAGAGGGAGTGAGGCGAAGGGAGTGAGGAAGGGAATTCCAGAGCCTCGGGGCATAGTGGCTGAAGGCACGGCCGCTGAGGGTGGAGCGGAGGACTCGCGGGACGAGGTGGAGGCCAGACCCGGAGGAACGAAGGCAACGGGTACTGTTTTGAGGAGAGAGGAGGTCAGAGAGGTGGGGGGGTGCAGAGGAGTGGAGGGATTTGAATACACGGGTGAGGATCTTGAAGTCGATTCTCTCTGGGACAGGCAGCCAGTGCAGTCTGGCAAGGACTGGGGTGATCGGGGAGCGGAGTTTTGTGCGGGTAGGAATGTGGGCAGCAGAGTTTTAATGATCTGGATTTTATGGATGGTAGTGGATGGGAGACTGGCCGAGAGGTGACAAAGGCATGGACTAGGGTTTCAGCAGCTTTCGGAGAGAGGTATTGGCGGAGACGGGTGATGTGTTGGAGGTGGAAGAAGGCGGTGCTGGTAAGGGACTGGATGTGGGGGAGGAAGGATAATTGGGGGTCGAACCAGACACCTAGGTTGCGTACGGGTTTGGAGAGTTTTAGGGGGAGGTCGGGTAGATGGAGGAGGTGAGAACCGTGAGATTTTAGATGTTGACGAGAGCCAAAGAGTATGGCTTCCGTCTTGTCAACGTTCAGCTGAAGGAAATTTGCGCTCATCCAGCCCCTGAGATCTGACAGGCAGGCTGACAACATCAGGGGACTGGGGGTCGCAAAGAGAGGTTGCAAAATAGAATTGGGTGTTGTCTGCGTACATGTGGAAATGTACCCCAAGTTTGCGGATGACCTCCCCAAAAGGGGGCATGTAGATCAGAAAGAGGAGGGGGCCAAGGATGGATCCTTGGGGTACCCCGCAGGTGACCTGGTGAGAGCGGGAGGGGAAGCCGTTTGAGCAGATGTACTGCTGGCGGATCGTGAGGTAGGACTCGAACCAGGCGAGTGCAGTTCCACTGAGGTGGATGATGGAGGAAAGGCGGTGGAGGAGGATGGGATGATCAACTGTGTCGAACGCAGCGGAGAGGTCCAGGAGGACAAGGAGGCAGAGGGAGCCCTGGTCACAGATGGAGAGGATGTTGTTTGTGGCTTTAATTAGCGCAGTATCTGTACTGTGGGCAGGGCGGAAGCCAGACTGCAGGGGTTTGAAGAGGGAGTGGGAGGAGAGGTGTGCGCGAAGTTGATTGGCACGCTGGTTTAGCCCTGCTCTGTACTTGGATACTTTACCAAGGGCATAGATTTTCTGCCTGGATGTTGTGATAACTGTTTTCTTTGATGTTTGCAGGAAAAGTCTCTGAAAATGTTTTTTCAGCCTCAGAATTTAACTCAAAGAAACGCATGTTTCTGTTGGAAATGTGAGAAGAGAACTGCAACACTACAGGTACTGGGGTCAGAGAAGGTGTGGGATTAGCTGCAGTCATATGCTCAGTGGCCACTTTCAAAGCCTGTAAACATAATACAAAATAACATTTTCACATTCAATATATTTATGCTCAGGGAGATGAGGTGGGAGTGAGAGAGTAAATGGGCCAGAGTGAGCAAGGCGGAGGGATTGTGGGAGAGTGTTCCACTGTTTCCAGTTGTAGTGGCTGAAAGAGCGACATCCAATGGTGGAGTGGAGGGTACGAGGGACAAGCAGGAGGCTGATGCCAGTCGAGCAGAGGTGCCAGGTGGCGGATTGGGGAATGAGGAGGTCGGAGAGGTAGGGAGGTGCCAGGGAGTGAAGGGATTTGAACATGAGAGTGAGGATCTTGAAGTCAATCCGTTCGGTGTTGGGGAGCCAGTGGAGCCCGGCCAGGACTGGTGAGATGGAGGTATGGAGTTTGGTGCAGGTAAGTATTCAGGCAGTAGAGTTCTGAATGAGCTGGATTTTTTAAATAGCGGAGCCAGAGAGACAAGCGAGGAGTGCGTTTGAGTAATCCGGATGGGAGGTGACAAATGCATGCACGAGGGTTTCGGCTGCATTTGGGGTAAGGTGCGGTTGGAGGCGGGCAATGTGGTGGATGTGGAGGAAGGCGGTCCTGGTCAGGGACCAGATGTGGGGGAGAAAGGACAGCTGGAGGTTGAACTGGACGCCTAGATTGTGTACTGGTTCGGTGAGTCTGAGGAAGAGACCAGGGAGGTTGAGGAGTTTAGATTGACAGGAGTGAAGATGTTGATGGGAGCCAAGGAGTATGGCTTCTGTCTTGTCCACATTCAGCTTCAGGAAGTTTGCACTCATTCAGACCCTGATGTCTGCCAGACAAGCTGATAGAACCAGCTGGAGGAGGCAAAGTAGATTTGTGTGTCATCCGCATACATGTGGATGATACTCTTTAATATTTACATGCTCCCCCTTGGTGACATCATCCGCAGACATGGGGTCAACTTCCACATGTATGCGGATGACACCCAACTCTATCTTTCTGCCTCTACCCTCAACTCCAGGACCACTGCTGTCCTGACAGACTGCCTGTCAGACATCAAGTCCTGGATGAGGGCAAATTTCCTACAGTTAAATATGAACAAGACTGAGGCCCTCCTTATTGGTTCACGCCAGCGCCTCAGCACCTTAGGCTCTGGCAATATCAACCTCCATGGTTGCACACTACACCTCACCAAACCAGTCAGGAACCTTGGTGTCTTGTTCGACGCTCAACTGTCTTTTCTTCCCCACATCCAAGCCAGTGGAGTCCTGTAGCTCAGTGGTTAGAGCACTCGCTTTGCAAGTGAGAGACCTGAGTTCAATTCCAGGCAGAGGACGAAACCTTGGGCAAGTTTCCTTACTCCACACAGAGCCTAATAATAATCCCTCCAAAACCCCAAACAATAATAAATTGGTCATTTTCAATCTACGACTGTTTGTGGGGCAATGCGTTCGCCCACAAATATACAGTCAATTCACTTTACAGTGTGTTCTGTGAAGCTCTTTGGAACGTCCTCCCGATGTGAAAAGCGCTATATCAAATGCAAGGATTATTATTATTATGACCTGCTCTGCCTTCCCTCACCTCCGTAACATCGCCCAACTCCACCGCTACCTCACCCCTCAGGCCACTGAAACTCTTGTTCATGCCTTCATCACCTCCAGGCTCGACTATACGAACGCACTGCTTGTCGGCCTTCCCAACTCCTCCCTCCACCGGCTGCAGATAATCCAGAACTCTGCAGCCCGTGTCCTCTCCCGCACCAAACTCCGTGACCCCATCTCCCCCATTCTTGCCTGACTCCATTGGCTCCCTATCCTTCAGAGGATCCAGTTCAAGATCCTGGTCCTCACCTACAAAGCCCTCCATGGCCTCTCCCCACCCTACCTCTGTGACCTCCTAACCCCCTACCAACCCGCCCATTCCCTTCGCTCTGCAGGCTCTGACCAGCTCCACATCCCTCGACCCACCGCCCTACCATTGGCGGGAGAGCCTTCAACCACTCTGCCCCCAACCCCTGGAATTCCATCACCCAGTCACTCCGCCTCACCCCCTTCTTAACCTCCTTCAAGTCCCGCCTCAAGACCCTCCTGTTCGGCCATCCCCCTTCCCCTCCCTTCCCTTCTCCCCTGCTGACCCCAGCTCGGGTCTGAAATGCTGTACACTATCCAGCACCTTGGGATGTCCTCCTGACGTGAAAGGCGCTATACCAATGTAATCTTGTTGTTGTTGTTTACCCCGTGTCTGCGGATGACATCACCAAGAGGGAGCATATAGATGAGGTAAAGAAGGGGTCTAAGGATGGAACACTGGTGTATTACCCTCAGTTGGACACATTATGCCCAGGATTAAAACAAAATGCATTTGTTTAGCACCCTTTGAACATTGAACATCTCGGAGCGCTGAACAACGGCATAGTTTCACCCTGTGCTGGGGAGAAAGGGGAGGTGACCACAGACATGGTCGAGGAGAAAGACTTCAGATATGATTTGAAGATTTGCAAAGTAGAGGGATTGAGGGAGGGAGTTCTAGAGGTTTGGGATGTTGTGGCTGAAGGCACGGCCACTGAAAGGGAAGTTGAGTGGTTGAGGATCACACGGAGGCCCAAGCTGGCTGAGCGAAGGAGGTGGGTGAGTGGAGTGAGCAGGTCGAAGAGGTTGGGGATGCTAAGGCACAAAGTGATTTGTATGTGAGTGTCAGATTCTTGAAATAGATCCATTCTGAAACAGATTGCCAATGGAGCCTGGGGTGTTGGAGGTAAGGAGTTACCCTCTGTATGACCCACTCCAGCATGCAGATCATCCTCTTCATGACACAATCCAGTCTGCACACTACCTTCTTGTGATGTATACTGTTGTGTTCTGGGTGCGTCAGAAGATCTCATTCAACTGTAAAGTACTCTGCTCGAATAGCTAAGGGCAGCATTTTCCAGGAGTCCCTGCAGGTGTATCATAGTTTAATAACATTATTTGGTGCCCATGAAATCTTAGGATTTTTAAAAACTTTTATAAAAAATCTGCCTCTATTGTCTGTTTATAGAGTAGACCTTGTACAGAATACAACTGCCAGGCGCATATCAGATCAATTCTGTTTCTTGTTTTTTCTCCAGGGCTTCAAGCTGTTTTCGCTGCCCTCCATTGTAAACTTCCACCTGAATCGGTTCTGCCATCGTTTGGACGGTTTCACACGTAAAATCAACAGCACACTTGAATTCGATGAAATTCTGGATCTCAGTAAATTTCCCATCTCAGAAAAGGTCCTGAGCCAGAGAAAGAGCCAGGTGAGGTTTTGAGATTGTGTGCACACTGGCTTTAATAACAGCTGCTACTCCTTGGACTGTTCCAGATGAGATATACATTCTGAACTTAGCAGTGCGGTCCACAGAGAATTGTAGAATATTCCAGCACCATCACAGAAGGTCAATCCTGTGCTGGTGGACCACCTTTCCACAAGCCTCCACCCAGCCAATGTCTTTCTCCACATGAGGCACTTATTCTAATCCCACTCTCCTGATAATTGACCATACCCTGTATTATTCCTCCCCTAATGCAATCTATAAAATTCTCCTTTAAAACCATTTGAAGACTCTTGATCGACTATGGCACCTCTGATGTTTCAGTCTGTCTCAGTTGGTAGCACTCTAGCCCCTGAGTCAGAGGTTGTAGGTTCAAGCCCCACGTCAGGACTTTAAACTCATATTGTTTCAGCTGACACTCAAATGAGGGTGCGCTCCATTGTTGGAGTGACATTTTTTAAATGTTAAACAAGGTCCCATCTATGTCTGTTGAGGTGGATGTTATTATTCCAAAAGAGAGATGAGGTTTTCCTAGTGCTCCTACCAACAATCCCCCAAATAAAATTGATTACTCACATCATGGCTGCAGTCACATTTCACATACAAAATACACTATCAGTGTGCTTTACAGTAAATCCTGTGAAGCGCTTTGAGTCATTTTGACAATGTGATAAGATGCCATATCAAATGTAAGGGTCAATATTATTTCTGTTTCATCAGATCCACAAGAAGATTTTATTTTCCCTCCTGCCAGATATTTTGTGGCTCCTGAAGAGTGTGAATGAAAAACAAAAATGACTTTCTCTTTTGGGTTGTTTTCACTCTTTGAACAACAGATTTTTGCATAAACCAAAGTTACATTGCATTTTAATTTAGCATTTAGTTTTAATTTGCATTTACCTGACCTAATTCTTTCAGAAAATGTTTATATTTTTTACTGTGGCAAAGAATTCCACATTCCTCACAAGATTCTGTATAAAGTTATTTTTTTCTCACTTTCATTTTAATTCTGTGATCTTTAATCAATGCCTCTCATTGACATACTGTTTCAACTATTTATTGTGTCATAACCGTTTGTAAGCTTGAAGACCTTGATCTGATCACCCCTTAACCTTCAGTGAAAAAGTCACAACTTCTCAAGTCCTGCTTCACAACTGAAAACCCTCAGCCCTGGAAACATCCTATTCATTATGCACTGTTTTGTCCTGGTAGCATCTGAGTGATTTCAAATGATAGTGATGAACTCAGTGTGTATTCACTGCTATGGGTGATGCTGTAATATTTCCTGCTGTGAGCAGACTGTCAGATTTTTACAACACAACTTTGGTTGTATTTTACAGAGTTATTGGCTATATGAGCTGTTTGCAGTAATTGTCCACATGGGATCGGCAAACTTTGGACACTACATAGCATACGTGAAGTATTTTGAAGATAAAAAGTGGTACCTCATTGATGATTCCTCCGTCCATTCGGTAACATTCTTTCAGTTGATGTTTTTTTCCTGTATATTCATATTAAACAAAGAGGAAAAAGAACCCACTCTGCTGCATTTCATCTTTTTTGACCATCACCCCAATCCTTGCCAAGCTCCACTGTCTCCCTGTCTCCAAAAGGATCAATTCAAAGATCCTCACATGCCGTAGCACCTCCCTATCTCTCTGACCTGCTCATACCCCACTCCTCTGCCTTCCCCCTTTGCTCAGCAGACACAGGACTGCTGCGCAACCCCTAATCGCTCTGCGCCACTGTCAGTGACTGTGCCTTCAGTCACTCCATCCATCTACCTCGCTGCCTTTTTATCTTTCAATGCTACCTTAAGACCTACCTCTTTAGTGTGCGTCCTGGGAGAAGTATTCTTTACATAAAGGATAATGATGAAGCAACAAATAATATAGGGACTGATTCATATTGTTTCATTGATAGGTGCAATGGGAAGCTGTAAAGGAGACCTTTGGCTCCAAAAGGTGAGTCATTTTTCTTGCAGATTTTCTTGTTTTAAAAACGCAACTGTCATTTGCAAAGCATGCCTGCTTGGATTGTTCGATAATTTACAACACTTATGCACCCATACATTTTATACATCTATAAATCTTTTATTCTTTACATTAAATATCTATACGTCTCGATTGGGTCAGCCAACATTTCACTCTTAGGGACTTGTTATTCTACATATAAACCACCCAACCTCTTGATTAGATTATAGCATGTGACTTGCTCCTGGAGATCTGATGTTCTGTAAATAAATTTAGTCCAGAATCATGGACTAAATTCTAGCCTGCAAATCATTTTTAGGAATCCCTTATTCTATATAAAAAAAAGCTCAACCCTCAATTAGATTCAATTCTGTAACTCACTCTTGGTTCTGCTGTCAGGAAGCCCAAGCATGAAGTCCATGTTTCTTCCTTCTCCTTTGCTGAGTCTGGTTTGGTATTTCCTGTCATTGACCAGGCTCCCATTGTTTATCTCTGTGCTTTGTAAAGGTTGAGGGATGTTCACTGCAGTTTTGTGGATGATTGTATTTTCTTATTCAGGGGTCAGACTGCATATTTGCTGCTCTATAGGAAAGCAGAGCAAGATGCAGGTGCCAATACCCACTGAGTTGATGGACGTAAAGGCTCTTGCTATTCTGAAAAACCGAGAGTCTTTCACCAGTCGCTGATTCTTCCTGCTTTGAGAATGAAGATTCCTGTATTCTGCTGGTTATGGCCAGCAGTTTAGCTTCACAACTATGACTACATCATTTCATCTGTCTGAGGTGCAGCTGCTGTTTCTCATCTGTGTTTCAGAGTGCAGGGCTCTGCTGTTTCTGAGCTAATGCCCAGGACTTTAGAATAAATTGGGAATAATTACAAGTAGGTGAGGCAGTGGATGGTTACAACAACAACAAGATTCCATTTATAGAGCCCCTTTCACGTCGGGAGGACGTCCCAAGGAGCTGAAATACATTAATAAATACATTTGAATATTGGGGGAACCTTCATACCTGATTTGTACATTTACGAATTATGAATTTAAAGCTTTTGCTGGTCTTTAATCCCACAAGGCAATTGCACTCCTTGTCTTTCAAACCCACTGTGAAAAGGTGGATTGAGAATATCAGTGAATGAAGAGTCAGTGAATGAAGATGGTGGCTTGAGATAAATACAGTCGTGGTAAATGTATTGTGTGGGAATAATGGTGATATAGGTGGTTGGTAGATGATACATTGCTGAAGTTCAATAAAGACGGAATGTTTTAACCAATTTGGAAAATCTATTTTAAAAAATCATCAAATAAGTAATAATGATGGTCTCTTGTTCCATTAACCAAACGGTTGAAGCAATTTCCTGTTGCTAACTAGGATCTTGCGATAGGATTTAAATTTATTCATGCTTAGTCTCTTTAGTATCCATCATAAACCACACTGGTGGTCTCACAGGTAAGATCAGTTTCAGCAAGCCATTACACTTGATTCTGCGTGAATTTGTGGCAGCCCATCCTCAGTCCCAATAGCGTTTGTGATGACGGAAAAAAAATTGAGAAAGCCGGCAACAAGAATTAAAAGAGAGATTAGAAAATAATATTTACACTAACAATGGTTGGAATGAGAAATAATTTTCTTCAATTGTAATTGAAGCAGCATCCATAATTTCTTTTTACAAGGAATTTAGATAATAATAATAATAATCCTTGCATTTGATATAGCACCTTATCACTTCTTCGAGACATCTCAAAACGCTTTACAAAATGTACTGTAAAGTGAATTGACTGTATATTTTGAGGGCGAAATGCAGCAGCCAATGTGTCCCACAAATAGTCGTGAATTGAAGTGACCAATTTATTATTGGGTTTTTTTGGAAGGAATTATTAACCCCGGAAAAGCAATCCGCCAATCGACTGACAACCGGGTTCCTGCTTACTACTAGGTAAACAGAGGCGTGTGGTGTAAGGAAACTTGCCCAATGTTTCGCCCAGCTGGGAATCGAACCCAGGTCTCTCGCTTGTGAGGATGAATGCTCTAACCACTGAGCTACAGGACTCCACCTGAATGCTTGAAGGGGAGGAATTTTAAAATTAAGCAGAAAAGTGTGAGGAGATCACACTTTGCACAGATTGAATTAATTGAGGGAGGATTTTGGCAAACAACTTTAAGACATGGTGATGAGAAGTGAGCCAAAGAGATCAGCTTTCTTTTCAGAAGTAAGTTACCAGAACAGAAGGTTAGTGAGAAGGCATTCTACAACTCATTTACATTAGTTTTCGGGTGAATTGGGTAAAGAGGAAATTGGCTCAGTTGGTAGCACTCTCGCCTAGGAATCAGAAGGTTATGGGTCCAATAGTCTTGACTTGCACTCCAAATCAATGCTGTAGGTCTTTTCCACCACTAACCATCTCCTCTGTCCACCTTCCCATACCTCGTCCATCCTCTCCTCAAACTCCAACTGTGAGGAGATGCTGGATTTCCTTGAATCTAAAATTGAGGGGATACGTTCAGCCACCTCAGCCCCCTCCACAGCCACCCCCGCATCACCTCTCCCTCATGACCCACCCACCCCACCCTATACTCCTTCGACCCAATCTCTCCCTCCTTCCTCACCACGACTGTCCGCAAACTCAAACCCACCACCTGTTCCCTCGATCCCATCCCCACTTCTCTCCTCGTCTCCCAGCTCCACCTTCTGCCCCCCACCCCCTCTCCTGTCCGATGTCATCAACCTCTCCCTGTCCACTGGTTCAGTTTCCACCCCCCTAAAAACAGCCGTCATCACCCCCATCCTGAAAAAACCTTCCCTGGATCCATCCCTCCTCTCCAGCTACTGCCCCATCTCTCACCTTCCATTCCTCTCCAAGGTCCTGAAACGAGTCATCTCGTCCCAGCTCTGCTCCTTTCTCCCTCGCCATTCCCTCTTTGAACGCCTCCAATCCCGCGCTGCCCACAGCATGGAAACAGCCCTGGTCAAGGTCACTAATGACATTCTGAACATCTGTGATCAGGGCTCCCTCTGTCTCCTTGTCCTCCTTGACCTCTCTGCCGCCTTCGACACTGTCGACCACTCCATCCTCATACACCGCCTCTCCGCTTTACTCAATCTTCACGGATCTGCCCTTGCCTGGTTCAATTCCTATCTCTCTCACCGTCTCCACTTCGTTGCCTCTAACGGTTTCTCCTCCAGCCCCCGCACTATCACATCTGGCGTCCCCCAGGACTCTGTCCTTGGCCCTCTCCTCTTTAGTATCTACATGCTCCCCTTTGGTGACATCATCCGCAGACATGGGGTCAACTTCCACATGTATGCGGATGACACCCAACTCTTATCTTTCTGCCTCCACCCTCAACTCCAAGACCACTGCTGTCCTGACAGACTGCCTGTCGGACGTCGAGTCCTAGATGAGGGCAAATTTCCTACAGTTGAATGTGAATAAGACTGAGGCCCTCCTGATTAGCTTGCGCCAGCGTCTTAGCACTTCAGGCTCTGGCAGCATCAACCTCCATGGTTGCACACTACAACTGACCAAGCCAGTCAGGAACCTTGGTGTCTTGTTCGACCCTCAACTGTTTTTCTTCCCCACATCCAAGCCATGACCTGCTCTGTCTTCCCTCACCTCGGTAACATCGTCCGACTCCACCGCTACCTCACCCCTCAGGCCGCTGAAACTCTTGTTCATGCCTTCATCACCTCCAGGCTCGACTATGCAAATGCACTGCTTGTCGGCCTTCCCAACTCCTCCCTCCACAGGCTGCAGATAATCCAGAACTCTGCAGCCCGTATCCGTGACCCTATCTCCCCCACTCTTGCCCGACTCCACTGACTCCCTATCCTTCAGAGGATCCAGTTCAAGATCCTGGTCCTCACATAAAAGCCCTCCATGGCCTCGCCCAACCCTACCTCTGCGACCTCCTAACCCCCTACCAACCCGCCCGTTCCCTCTGCTCAGCCGGCTCTGGCCTGCTCCACGTCCCCGACTCACCCGCCCCACCATTGGCGGGAGAGCCTTCAGCCACTCTGCCCCCAACCTCTGAAATTCCATCCCCCAGTCACTCCTCCTCGCCCCCTTCTCAGCCTCCTTCAAGTCCTGCCTCAAGACCCTCCTCTTCAACCATGCCATCGGCCACTCCACTTCCCCTCCTATCCCTTACCCCCCCCAGTTCGGGTCTGAAATGCTGTACTCTGTCCACCACCTTGGGACGTCCTTCCGACATGAAAGGTGCTATACAAATGTAATCTTGTTGTTGTTGTAAATGTGCTGCATTGTTGCAGATGCAGTCCATCGATGATGCATTAAAACCAAAGATCCATCTTCAGGTGAACATTAAAGATCCCAGGCCACTATTTAAAAAGAGAAAGAAGTTTCTCTGTGTCTCATGGCTTATCAACCAGATAAAGTTGGACATTCACTTCATGGGTGTTTGTGCTTCTTTGCTGTGTGCTAATTGAATGCTGGGTTTGCCTAAAAAAAATCACACTTTATTGTAAATCCTATAAATTGCTTTGATACATCCCCTGATGTAATAGATGGTGTATCAAAAGCAAGAATGATTTTATTTGATATAAACAAGGCCAATGGGAATGATTAGAGTGGGAGAGAATCGATTCACATCCAACTGAATCAGACGTGACCTAAACCATAGAAGCATAGAAATTACAGCATAGAAGGAGGCCATTCGACCCATCGTGCCTGTGCCAGCTCTTTGGAAAAGCTACCCAATCAGTCTCACTTCCCCACTCTTTCCCCATATCCTTGCAATTTTGTTCCTTTTCAAGTACTTATCTAATTCTCTTTTGAAAGTTGTTATTGAATCTGTTTCCACCACCCTTTCAGGCAATGCATTCCAGACTGTAACAACTCTCTGTCCAAAAAAAAATTCTCCTCCCCTCTGGTTCTTTTAATAATAATAATTATTATTATTTATCCAATTATCTTGAATTTATGTGCCCTGGTTACTGACCAGTGGTAACAGTTTTTCCCTATCTACGCTATCAAAACCCACTCATAATTTTGAACACCTCTATTAAATCTCCCCTTAACCTTCTATGCTCTAATGAGAACAATCCCAGCTTTTCTAGTCTTCACATAACAAAAGTCCCTGTTACCATTCTGGTACGTCTCCTTTCCACCCTCTCCAAGGCCTCAATATGCCGCCTAAAGTGTGGTGCCCAGAATTGGACACAATACTCCAGCTGAGACCTAACCAGTGACTTATAAAAGCATTGCAGAACTTTCTTGCTTTTATGGTCTATGCCTCTATTTATAAAGCTAATGATCCCATATATTTTTAACAGCTCTATCAACCTATCCTGCAATCTTCAAGACCTGTATATGTGAACCCCCAGGTCTCTCTGCTCATGTACCCTCTTTAAAACTACCATTTATTGTGTATTGCCTCTTCTCATTCTTCCTCCCAAAATGCATCACCTCACCTTCTCTGCTTTAAACTTCCATCTGCCACATGTCTGCCCATTTCACCAGTCTGTCTATGTCCCCCCAGCAGTTTGCTACCATCCACCTCACTGTTTATCACGTTCACAAGTTTTGTGTCATTTGCAAACTTTAAAATGTTGCTCTCTGTACTCAAGTCCAAGTCATTTACATATATCAAAAAGAGCAGTGGACCTAATACCGACCCATGGGGAACTCCACTGTATACTGCCCTCCAGTTTGAAAAACAACCATTCACCACTATCCTCTGCTTTCTGACTCACAGCCAATTTCGTATCCATGCTTCCACTATCCCTTTTATCCCATGGGCTTCAATTTTGGTACCTAGTCTATTATGCGGCACCTTATCAAACGCCTTTTGAAAGTCCATATACACTACATCACAGTACTACCATCATAAATCCTCTTCGTTTATCATCAAAGAGCTCAATTAGGTTTGCCAGACACAATTTGCCTTTAACAAATCCGTGTTGACTGTCATTAGGCGCTATACAAATGTTATCTTGTTGTTATGTTTTTCTAAGTGAAAATTAATTCAAATGAAAAGGATTGATGATCTGGAAATAAATCAGTAAATGTATTTTATGTAGAGTTCACAGAGGTTTTAAAGGATGGTTTGGAAATGCAGAAAGACTGTTGGAGGGATAAGAAGAGAACAGTAAACTTTTCTATCAAAAAAAGTTGCCTTCAGCAACTCTCATGTTGAATTTTTAGCTGGTTTGCAGAGACAAAGTCGGTTCAGTATGCTTAATACTGGTTAAGACATTTTGAGAGTCAGGCAGGACTTTTCTTGTTACCTGTTATGGGAGAACGGCATATCGAGTTCCAGATCCTTGTCCTAACCTTTAAATCCTTCTCTGGTGTTACCCCACTCTACTTCTCCAATCTTCTCAAACCCCAACCTGCCGGTTCCTCCACGCGTGGGCACCGGCTGGCCAGCCTGCTTCATGTCCTCCTCCCCACCTCAACTGTGGTGTTTTCAGCATATCCGTTTCCACTCTCTGGAACTCCATCCCAGAGAACATTGCACTTGTCCCTTCCCTTGTCTGCTTAAAGGTTTGCCTCAAGACTTTCCTCTTTGATTTTCCTCTTTCGGCCATCTTTTACCGGCTCACCTTCCAGCAAACCCTTGACCTTCCATTGCCTTGGGATAAACTCCTGACATGAAAGACACTATATAGGTGTAAATTTGTATTGTAACTTCATTGCGCACATCTGATCTGATGGCTGAAGAAGGAAGGAATTGGGTGGTTATTTCTCGGACACATACATTTGTGCACTAGTCAGGATATAAAGAGAAAACCTACGAAGTCAGGTCAGTCAGCATCTGAAAGAGAATCTCAGATGTTTGAGGAGTGACTATTCATAGAGACTGGATGAGGCAGAAATTGTCTCCATGGAGAAGACACCCAAAATAACCTCAGAGATCCGAACAGCTCAAGATCACCACCGTGTGGATCTATGCAGTTTTCAGCTTTCCTGACTGACCACTGAGTGTTTTGGAAGATTCTTCACAAGGTGGCGATCTTGAGCTGTTCTGGTCATTGAGGGTTTTTTTTCGTCAGCTGTGTGACACATGCAAAAACCTATCACTGTCCAACGTATAATATCCAACCCAAACAAAGTTCCATGCATACCCACTACAAATGGAAATTCCTGGGTTTAGAATGGAATTAAGCGCTCAAGCGTCCGGCATGGAGGGCGCTATATAAATCCAAGTTGTTGTTGGAATGCACACTCTCTCCCTGGAGGGATGCATCCTGCTTATCAAATATTGGAGTCTATTAGGTGCAGGAATACTGTGGACCTGCCTGGCTCAGGAACCAGACTACATAGACAGAAGTTTGACTGGATTCTGACATTCTGTTACTAATCCGGTCACCTTGGAGCAAGTCCCCCCCTCCCCCCCACCCCTGATGGGTAGTTACTGAGTCAAGCATCACAAGGTGCATCTCTTGTGCTCTCCACTGGCTGCTTATTGATCGGTAAATATATGTTCAGAAATATATTGTTCATAATTGTGCCATTTGAGTCACAACATATTGTCTCAGTACAGGACGTCAGGCACAACTGCACCTGTGTTGTCAATACTCAGGAACTTCCTGCTTAACGTGGCTGGAATAATATTGTAGGTGTGGCTCAATCAATAAAATATCTTGGCAAGGGAACAGATCACTGCTTCACATCTGCTTTCATTAAAAGGCCCTTATATTTTACTGCCTTCCAACATGCTTCCTGTTCCATCAATCTACAATCCACTCCGGTCTGTCATGCCATCAAACACCATAATGATACATAGATGCAGCCATTTTCTGTCTCTTTAACATCGGTACACAACACACTTCAGTTAGCTCACAGTCAGCGTGCAATCTTTGTGTTTTGTTTGACATCAGCTCTGATTTAAGCCCTACAACCAGCCTTGACCTCCGTACTTTATCTATCAAATAGTCACAGGCTTCTGTCATCCCATTTGTGGAGTCCTGTAGCTCAGTGGTTAGAGCACTCACTTTGCAAGCGAGAGACCTGAGTTCAATTCCAGACAGGGCGAAACCTTGGGCAAGTTTCCTTACTCCACACACCTAATAATAATCGCTCAAAACCAAAAACAATAATTAAATTGGTCATTTTTCAATCTCCGACTGTTTGTGGGACATTGCTGTGCGCAATTGGCTGCCGCGTTCGCCCACAAATATACAGTCAATTCACTTTACAGTGTGTTCTGTGAAGCGCTTTGGGACATCCTCCCGACGTGAAAAACGCAATATCAAATGCAAGGATTATTATTATTATTATTATTCAATCCAACGTGCATTCGTATCTTAGGAACTTACCAACTCAATTTCTCTTTTCCTTTCTCCTCAGCAGCTTCTTAGCTGAGACCCGCCCCATCGGTTCCAGTTTACTCAGATACTGACCCTGTCCTGCAAACTGCAAACTCATCACCCCTTTACCAGGCTCCTTATTCTTCCATTACCCTCTTGTCCTCCTTCTGCAAACTCTGCTGACTACACACCATCTACCCTCCCTTTGTCAGCTGAGCCTTCAGCAACTGTGCCCTGACAGGACTGGATAAATCTCCCCAAATCCTTCCACCTCAGAGCCACCCTATCTGTCTTCAATATCCTTTTTTTAAAAAAAAACTCTTCTCCTTTGTCTTTGGTCATCTTCCTTCTGCCCACCCCCACAGCTCAGGTTCTGCTGCTCTGTTTGAGGGACATGAGTTTGTGCAGTGGCTCCAGTGTTTGATTATGCACTTTACAGAGCAGTTTTGCGCTTTTGAGACATGTTGAGCAATATCAAACTACAAGGATTATTATTGCAGTGTTTGCTGTCTGGCGGCTGAGCCATCCCATCCACTGAGTGGTTCAGCCACACAGGATAGGAAAGCCCAGATTTGATGGTCTGGCCCCTGACCCCTGTTCTCGCCGAGTTTGCTTCACTCAGACGGGTCTGGAGTTACGCTGAGTTGACGATGGCTCTCCAAAGCCTTTCAGATGTGGGGGTGAGAGCATCGCAGACGAGACCCACACACAGCCCTCAGCGGATGGCCGTGTACACGCACATCACTGCGGGGATATGTGAGGAGTGATTTTTGGCGGATTCGCTTTCTCTTCCTGAGCCCTGCGATGCTGAGGCCAACTGCAGAATGTGCTGCCCAACTGAGAGCAGCCCCCCCCGGAGCCCCCCCCCCGGAGCCGCAGGCGCCCCCCCCGGAGCCCCCCCCCCCCCCGGAGCCCCCCCCCCCCCGGAGCCCCCCCCCCCGGAGCCCCCCCCCCCCCCGGAGCCCCCCCCCCCCGGAGCCGCAGCCCCCCCCCCCCGGAGCCGCAGGCGCCCCCCCCGGAGCCCCCCCCCCCCGGAGCCGCAGGCGCCCCCCCGGAGCCCCCCCCCCCGGAGCCGCAGCCCCCCCCCCCCGCAGCCCCCCCCCCGGAGCCCCCCCCCCCCGGAGCCCCCCCCCCCCCGGAGCCCCCCCCCCCGGAGCCGCCCCCCCCCCGGAGCCGCAGGCGCCCCCCCCGGAGCCGCAGGCGCCCCCCCCGGAGCCGCAGGCGCCCCCCCCGGAGCCCCCCCCGGAGCCGCAGGCGCCCCCCCCGGAGCCCCCCCGGAGCCGCAGGCGCCCCCCCCGGAGCCCCCCCCGGAGCCGCAGGCGCCCCCGCGCTGTGTGGGGATATCTCTGCGCCATTTGGTCAAATTCAGTGAAATTGAAGTGGAACGAGATTCAGCGTTATCGCGGGTCAGACCCCTGTGACTGTACACAGGCGATGCCTCTGTGCCCCGAGCCATCTGTGGGGCTGTTCAGGTGAAGCTGCGGTGTGTGCACATACAAGTGTGGACTGTACGGTCTGTGGTGAGTGAAGCCCCAGTGCGGTGCGGCGCTGTGTGTGAGGCCGTGGCGGTGTTGCTGCAGCCCCTCCCCCTCCCCCTCCCCCCCCCCCCACCACCGCACGTTTAAAGCCAAACTGTTCCCGTTCGCCACTCCCGACCCGCGCGCTGTTTCCGGGTTACAGTTCCCCTTTAAGGGGCCGCCGCCGGTGTCCTGTTACCACTCTCTCGGCTGTTGCCGGGAATTCACGTCGAAGGTTCACTCGCTGCAAAATTTGTGACCCCCAACACACAATGAGATCAATCAAAACCCTTTCGGTTTCTCTTCCCGGAAGAAAGCGATCGGATCAGCAATGTGATTGGCACTCGGTCACCGCCGGAGCCCTCCGGCCCTCCGCTGTGTAACACCCCTCTCAGGGACCGCCCGCGGCACCGCAACGGAGGCAGTTTTTTTTATTTGGGAGAAAAAAGGAAGGAAAGTGAGAAGCGACACAGAGAGAGAGAGACAGAGACAGAGGGTAAAAACTGATCACCAACTTCCTGACTTTACAGACATGTCTGAACCTTTAGCCGAACGGCACATTAAGGTAAATAAATCACTATCGATCCCCGACAGCGACCGGGAAACAGCTCCACCGTTACTCACAGAGAGAGGAACAAAGTTTAGATGTGTAAATGTTTAATTACTGTCTTCTGAGCGGTCGGTTGGTCGGTGGCACAAAGTTGTGATTCAGCCTTTGTTGCCCCTTATGGTTGAGTTTAGTGATACATTGTTGTTTGGGCTTTTCTTTTGGTGGAGGAGGAAGTGGGAAAGATGCCAATGGGGGTGAGGGGGGTGAGGGGGGGGGTGAGGGTGGGGGGGGGGCTGCCAGTGTGGGGGTGAGGGGGAGCTGCCAGTGTGGGGTGAGGGGGGTGTGAGGGGGTGAGGGGGAGCTGCCAGTGTGGGGTGAGGTGGGGGTGAGGGGGAGCTGCCAGTGTGGGGTGAGGGGGGTGTGAGGGGGTGAGGGGGGAGCTGCCAGTGTGGGGTGAGGTGGGGGTGAGGGGGGTGAGGGGGAGCTGCCAGTGTGGGGTGAGGGGGGGGTGTGAGGGGGAGCTGCCAGTGTGGGGTGAGGGGGGGTGAGGGGGGCTGCCAGTGTGGGGTGAGGTGGGGGTGAGGGGGTGAGGGGGGCTGCCAGTGTGGGGTGAGGGGCTCGGGGAGACCTGCCAGTGTGGGGTGAGGGGGGCTGCCAGTGTGGGGTGAGGTGGGGGTGAGGGGGTGAGGGGGGGCTGCCAGTGTGGGGTGAGGGGGGGCTGCCAGTGTGGGGTGAGGGGGGGCTGCCAGTGTGGGGTGGGGGGGGGGGGTGAGGGGGGCTGCCAGTGTGGGGTGAGGGGGGTGAGGGGGGGCTGCCAGTGTGGGGTGAGGAGGGGGTGAGGGGGGTGAGGGGGAGCTGCCAGTGTGGGGTGAGGGGGGGGTGTGAGGGGGAGCTGCCAGTGTGGGGTGAGGGGGGGTGAGGGGGGGCTGCCAGTGTGGGGTGAGGGGGGGTGAGGGGGAGCTGCCAGTGTGGGGTGAGGGGGGTGAGGGGGAGCTGCCAGTGTGGGGTGAGGGGGGGTGAGGGGGAGCTGCCAGTGTGGGGTGAGGGGGGGGTGAGGGGGAGCTGCCAGTGTGGGGTGAGGGGGGGGGTGTGAGGGGGGCTGCCAGTGTGGGGTGAGGGGGGGTGAGGGGGAGCTGCCAGTGTGGGGTGAGGGGGGTGAGGGGGAGCTGCCAGTGTGGGGTGAGGGGGGTGAGGGGGAGCTGCCAGTGTGGGGTGAGGGGGGGTGAGGGGGAGCTGCCAGTGTGGGGTGAGGGGGAGCTGCCAGTGTGGGGTGTGGGGGAGCTGCCAGTGTGGGTGAGGGGGAGCTGCCAGTGTGGGGTGAGGGGGAGCTGCCAGTGTGGGGTGAGGGGGAGCTGCCAGTGTGGGGTGAGGGGGAGCTGCCAGTGTGGGGTGAGGGGGAGCTGCCAGTGTGGGGTGAGGGGGAGCTGCCAGTGTGGGGTGAGGGGGAGCTGCCAGTGTGGGGTGAGGGGGAGCTGCCAGTGTGGGTGAGGAGGGGGTGAGGAGGGGGGTGAGGGGGGCTGCCAGTGTGGGGTGTGGGGGAGCTGCCAGTGTGGGTGAGGAGGGGGTGAGGGGGGGGGTGAGGGGGAGCTGCCAGTGTGGGGTGAGGGGGAGCTGCCAGTGTGGGGTGAGGGGGAGCTGCCAGTGTGGGGTGAGGGGGAGCTGCCAGTGTTGGGTGATGAAGGAAATCATGTCGATACTTTTTTGTTGCATTTCGATACATGGAAAATCGAAGGGGAAAAACAAACCGGTTGATGGTGCAACTTCCTGTCCTTGAAGGACATCAGAGCAGCTTTGACTTTCATTTCTCTGTGATTATTGCATCTGTTTTATGGCGAAATTCAGTCTTTTACATTTAGCTAAAAAATCAACCAGATCCACAGAGCGCAGGTCAGGAGCCGGAGCTGCTGTACAGATAAACCAGGTTTAAACAGTGAAAGAAGAACTGTAACCCTTTGATTGCCGGAAGACTTTCTTGCAGTTTTCGAAACATCAGGAGTTTCTGTGATTGTAGGGAGAATGGGTTAAATGGATGACCCGGATCTCGTTCCTGCTTCCCTACCACAGACATCAGTGTCGTTTCAGATTGCCAATGTCACCAGTATTTCTAGTTTATTTTCCTGAGATTCAGGCGAGATTTCATACAGATGAGCTTTTGCTGAGAGCAATGCCCACTTTTCCAATAAGTCGCGAGTTTCTATTTACGGCAGAAGGAAGTACTGATAACAGCGAGTGTCACAGAGGTTCCCGCAAAAATGGGTTTCCTTGTTCCTAAAGGCTCTCGGGGTAAACGCACCTGGTGTTTTGATAGTGAAACCTACAGACGAGAAAGGTCTCGGGTTCATTCTTGTCAGTTAGTTCATTTGATCAGGATTAGTGGTTGGGCGCTACAGTTGAGGTCAACATGGCCGGCCTACAGCAGGGAAAAATCATTCCCATTCCAGATTGTATCCAGTGACTCCAGATGGAACATGAACCTTATTCGATACCAGAAGCCTGAAATTTCATCTTATCTTAGACTATAAACCCAATTTGACCTGTAACACTGGCTGTCATTTTGACTGCCCAACCCACGCACACACACACAGCTTTGAGACAAATTAATGCTGTGAAAGGCAAAATCTAAATTGTTGTGTACAACTACTTTCACGTTTATTTCTTATATATTTTGTAAAACAATTCATACTAAGGTTGACATCTTGAAGATGTGGAATGCTCTGCCCCAGAAAACTTTAGTGGAGGAATCAATAAGGTTGTTTAAAAGAGATTGACAAAAGAGGTAACAGAAGTAGAAAAGGGAATGGGGAATGGCAGGGCATTGAAATTAAAAGAGATCTGGTGAGATTTAATAAACTTGTGGAACAGGCTCAATCGATGTGTGAGATCCTCCTGTTCCTGTTTTCTATTGTAAACCACTTCAAGATGTTTCATTTTATGTCAAAGGTATTCCATAAATGTATCATTATTATTTGTCTTAAAATTTAAGATGGAAAAGGAAAATTCTTAAAATTCAGGCCGAATATTGAAACCAATTTTTTGCAGTTAGTAAAAAGATCTAGGTTCCAAATGAACACTAAAATGAAGCATTTTACTTAAAAAAAAGTAAATTTAAGACAACATGGTCTTTTCAGCAAAAACTACAATTTGGGGCCTCGGATGAGAATGGGATCAGGCACAGCTCAGATACCTATGTGTTGCATGAGCTCTCACTTTAAAAATGGTGACTTGGTTGTTGCACGTTCTCCATTAGTTAGTGCCAATGAACCACATCCAACTACGAGTGGCTTTAGAAAGGGATTGGTCAAATTTGAGACTAAAACGTTTTAGGAACAATGTTGCTGAACAAAGTTTTTTTAAGAAAACTGTGTCAAGGATCACAGTCAACTACCACATCAAGGTTGACAAGAGTGATCAAGGAAAAATAAAACAAGGTTAGGTAATGCCAATCTCGATTTTAATAACACAGGAGGAAGAAAAATCTGAAGGAGGGAAGGAATTTCACAGTCTTCAATTCCTCCGAAATAATACATTTAAGTTGGTCATGGTGCGCTGATAATAATAATAAACCTTGCATTTGATATAGCACCTTATCGCATCACTGAAACAGCTCAAAGCCCTTCATAGGATATACTGTAAAGTGGAGTGACTGTATTTTGTGGCCAAAATGCACCAGCCAATTGCACACAGCAGTGTCCAACAAACAGCCACGTAGCGGATAAACAATTTTATTTGGGGAAAGACACCGGTAGAAACTTCCTTCTCTTTTTAAATAGTGCAATGGGATCTTTAACATTCACCTGAACAGACAGAAGGTAACTCGGTTTAACAACTTATCCGGAGGCAATGAGTCTCGATTTCAATACAGTGCAGAGGTAGAACTTGTCAATGATTGGAAGTGAGGTCAAATCATACATTTTCACACAGAGAAAATGAGGAAAGTAGTGCCCCAAAAGGTTGACAAAACAGATTCAATCGATATATATATATTTGGAGCTTAATAGAGGAACATTCTGAAGAACAATTAAAATAAGTATCAATAAAGTAAAGAAGATTTCAGCAGAGAGTGGCCAAGATGAGTGAAATATCACACATGAAATGATAAATCATTCATTGGTTTGCTTTCTGTCCATTAGTGTGAGCAAGGCCCTTTAAAAGAACTTCCTCCAATATGGGAGCGATGTGTAATTCTTTTGCCACAAGCACTTGGGGAAATATAATAATAATCCTTGCATTTGATATAGTGCCTTAACACATCTTCAAGACATCTCAAATCACTTCAGGACAGATCTATTAGATCTGGAAAAGGTCAGCGTAGTTTCACCAGAATTATACCAGGGTTAAATTATGATGACAGGTTGCATAAACTTGGTCTCAATTCTCTTGAGTTTAGAAGATTGAGGGGTGATCTAATTAAGGTTTTTAAAATAATAAAGGGATTCGATAGGGTAGATACAGAGAAACTATTTCCTCTGGTGGGGGAATCCAGAACAAGGGCTCATAATCTTAAAACTAGAGCTAGGCCATTTAGGAGTGAAATCAAGAGGCGGTTTTTCACCAAAAAGTAGTGAAAATCTGGAACTTTCTCCCCAAAAAGGCTGTGGATACTGGATCCATTCACATTTTCAAGACTGAGGTGGATAGATATTTGTTATGTCAGGGTATTAAGGGATACGGGGCCAGGATGGGTAATTGGAGTTGAGGTACAGATCAGCCATGATCTTATAGAATGGCGGAACAGGTTCGAGGGGCTGTTTCTATTTCATAAAGTGCTTCTAGACATTTAATTTACTTGAACAGTGCTGTATTAAATATGAATTATTATTATTACATTTTGCAGTTACAAGAATGTCAAAATCTTTCAGAGTCCTTCACAGTAATTCCTGTCAAGTATGTTGGCAAACAGGGCAACCATTATTAACAAAGCAAGATCCCATATGTAGCCAATGAGATGAATGGAGAATCCAGATGAAGGATAACTGCCCACAACATTGTAAGAAACTCCCATTTAAAAAAAAAAAATTTCCAAGGAATTTCTTCTGACTCAGAATGAATCTCGTTGCTAACTAAGCTAAACTAACACCCTATCATCTGCTGAGGCATTGATTTGCCCACTAAGTTGTATATTTTATACCACAATTTTTTTTGGACAGCCAGGTGTCTTGACAGATGCATAAACACAACACCACACTAAAAGTATCCAAACCAGACTGAGAGTAAATGTCTTTACACGGAGGCATTTCCCTGTATGTGGAATGGAATGCACACTGTATTCTTGGAAGGATGACCCTGATTTACAAGTTCTGGAGAGTATTAGGTGCAGGTTGTCGAGAGCCAAGGCTTGAGGACCAAATGTTGAAGTAGCAGTTAAAATTGTATAGGTTGTCATTGAGAGGAAAGATGCCTGCTGCTTGTTCAGCTAGGATTACCTTATTCATTAGGGCTTTGGCTTGCGACATTAGCAGGAGCTGAGTTGGAAGAATCCTGCCCAAGTGATGGTCTGTTCTTCCACGTCTTGCCGATAAGCAAGACTGGCTGGCCTATCATCGTCAGTGCCTTGGAGTACTACGGACCTACGTGGCTCAGGAAGCAGATGACCATGACTCCCACAGAGGGATGACTCAACATTTCTTTTTTAAGTGCCTCATCTTTGGGACGTCCAGAAGACGTAATAAGGCATATCATATATCAAATGCAAGAATTATTATTATCTTGGAGCCAAGTGAGCTCCAAGGAGATCTTGCTTACCTTCCCCCACAAAGAGGACAGTCACCTGTGTGATCACTTGGACATCTGACAAGTGCAGGTATGACCCCACAAGGTGAATTGCAAGTACCAGAAAGCCCCTGCAAGAACTATCTGGTGAGCAGCACACCTCAGCCCACAGCTCAGACTCACAGCACTCTCCTGGGCAATGGCTTTAACAGTTGGAAGTGTGGAGCTTGAGCAACAGCTGTTTTACCTCTCTGCAATACCGATCAAGTTGGATCCCAAGCCGTGGAAATGGGAGCTGTGTTGATAGGTCATTTAATTCCATGCAGAAACAATTCCATGTGTAGAGGGCCTCCGTGTTTTCAGGCGAGTGCTCTCCATGTCTAGGAGCAAATAGAAAGTGACTTGATGTGTTGAGAACATGTACAGAGACCAGAGTCATTGGCACACTGCCAGTTGGGCTGAGTGCTTGACATGGTTTCATTTTTGTTCACAGCAAGAAAGAAACGCCTACACCCCACCTGTGAGCCCGGTGCTGTCCTTCACATCCTCTGTGCACAGCAGAGTGGCCTCCGAAGGCAGACGAATGGAGGATGGATCATGCATTTTACCCTCGCACTTGCGTGAGTACTTAGCGTCCATAGGAGGTGGGAGAGATAATGGCAGATAACGTTTTATATTTTATTGGGTGCTTCATTATTCCCGCTTATCTCTTTTATATTTTGTATTAGTGTCAGCACTTGCTTCTTCTGTGAAGCATCTGTACTTAAAACAAATCTTTGCAAATTCCCTGTACATATTATACTCTTTATGCACATATGATCATAAAATTCCCTCTTAAATGCGTTAATCCACTGATCTAAACATTACCTCAAGCAACTTATTTAATTCTTTCATTCTCTAGAAGTGTTCCTAACTTCCTCTTTCACACTTTACTGATTTGGACAGTTTAGATAAGAACATAAGAATTAGGAGCATGAGTAGGCCATTCGGCCCCTCGAGCCTGCCCCACCATTCGATAAGATCATGGTTGATCTTCAGACCTAATTCTAATTACCTGCCCTATCCCCATATCCCCTAATCCCTCTGCTTTTTTAAAAATCTATCAATCAGTCTCAGCCTTGAAGATGTTCAAGGACTGAGCATCTACAGCCTTCTGGGGTAGTGAATTCTATAAATTCACTACCCTGGATGGAGCTTTGCTTTATATCTAACCTGTGTTGCACTGACCTGGGAGTGCAGAGCTCTTTCATGTTAAAAATCAGGAGATTGTTCTATCGTGAAGACTTTAAGATTGTCGAACAATCACAATTAAAATCATTGTTCTATTAATAATTTGATTAAATTGTTGGCATGGACGTTTATTATTTGTTCACGTCCAAGGTTCCTTTGCGCCACCCAAGCTGTGCAGCAGCTAATGCACCCAGATTCTGTGAAGCACTTTGTGACGTCTAGAAGACGTGAAAAGCACTATATCAAATGCAAGGATCATAGCCCGGAGGCAACTTATTCCTGGAGCAGGCCGGTGACCGAAAGCTAATTAACGTGCTCAACCTCCATTCTTTGAGAAAGTGTTAAGATGCAGCTTTTCCTTGTTGCGTGATGAGAAATTCAACATTATTGTTTTGGACAGGGTGACTGCAAGACGAGTGTTTTATGATACAGAGAATCAATTGAAGCAGGCAAGGTTTATATTGTAGTCATAAATTGGAAGGAAATCTGATTGTGATGTTGTGGTGTTGGAAGGCTTAATCAGGTATGTGCTTTGAGGAGTGCATCAATGTGCCCATTGTTCTGTCTTTACAATGCAGTGTCATCTGGGGAATACCAAGGTACCAGGTACCTGGATCAGGCCCAGAACTGCTCTGTGGAAGAAACAATTTGGCTGACTGGCTGCACTGCCGGGAAAGACTGGACAGACCAGAGACAGTGTAGAGTTCTGACTGACTAACTCAGGGACACTGTAGAGTTCTGACTGACTAATTCAGGGACAGTGTAGAGTTCTGACTGACTAACTCAGCGACAGTGTAGAGTTCTGACTGACTGACCCAGTGACAGTGCATACTCCTAACTGACTGACCAGGGATAGTGCAGAGTTCTGACCGGCTGATGGACCCTGAGACAGTGCAGATTCATGATTGAATGACTGGGGATAGTGCATATTCCTGATTGAATAACCCTGGGAAAGTGCAGGTCCTTGAATGACTGATGTGAGCCCTGCAAACTTGTGACAAACTGATGAACCTGGAACAGGACACACCTATGACTGACAGATTTCACACTCCTGTCACCCCAGTTCTTGCCAGGCTCCACTGGTTCTCTGTTGAAGATCGGATCAATTTCAAGATCCTTACTCACTTGAATTTAAAATCTCTTCATGCCTTTCACCTGCCTGCCTCTTTGATTTACTCACACGCCACTCCTCTACTTGATGCGTGCCTTCACTCAGTGGCATGTCTGCTGCATGTCTCTTCTGCTCCACGACTGGCAGCCGTGCTTTCAGAGACAATGTCCTGAATCTCTGGAACTCCTTGCCTGAATATCTCCAACTTGCACTCTCTTTGCCCATCTTCAAATCACATCTAAAGACTTTCCTCTTCGGTCGGCTTTTAGTCACTTCCTCCCCCTTTCTAGCTCAGCGTCAAGCGACACCGCTGTTAATTGTTCCATGTGAAGGGCGCTACAAAAATGCAAGTTGTTGTTGCTTTGGCTCTGAAGTGAGATGGGAGTATAACTTCGGCATATGTGTACCCTTCTCCAGCGTGTGCAGCGGTATGATACAGACAAAGTAAGTTTGCCTTTGTTCCTTTCTTTATTGCACTCTGAGACACTACCCTATGTGGAGGGTGCTAGATAAGTGCAAGTTGTTGTTATTGGAGCTGAGAGAATGAGTCAGAAATACACTAACAGCTCAGGGTATGGCATATATCATTGAAGGCAACTTCCTTGCATGAAATTATGCAGAGCTCTTTGAAATGTTTTGATGTTGTAGATGGACGAGAGAGGTGAGAAGTGATCACTCTGAGGGGATTCTTTCATCCAAGGCTCCTTATTCTTGCTGCACTTTCTGATCTTGTGTTTGCAGGTTTTCATTGCTCAGTGCCACCTCAGTAGGCAGGAAGCTGATGTGGCTCAGTGTGCAGTTGCTTTGACTGATTCATCCTATTTTAAAATTTTGGCCAGACTTTGCCTTGAGTTGGCAGTGGCAGAAGACCCTGTGGTCTTGCACGCGTTCTGATTAGTTATGTTGCTGTGCGTTTGTCTGACTAGCCCGTCCCTTCATTCCCCTTTAAATGAATGAAAGGTCCGTCATGTAGACGCCTCAGGATACTGTGCCTGTTGTGTGTGTGTTTTTCTTCTTCCTATAGTCATGGTATTTCCTGTTCAGGAAATTACCTGTCAAAGGCCGCCTACGCAGGAAATTCCTCAGGGAAACTTCCGCTCCCGGGAAATTTCCACAAGGCAGTGAGGAAGATTCTTTAAGCCAGCGTTGCTAGGCAGCATCCCTGCTGTACCGTCTCTTTCCTAACAGAACTCCCACGCAGGCTGGAGGGGAGTCTTCCAGCCCTATCACTTCCAATTCCCTGGGAACAAAAAGGGCCAATGCAGTGCATAGGAGCTCAGATTGTTTGCCTCACTGTCTTGACACATTGTGCCTCAAGTCAGTTGTGAAGTTCATTCTGGTTCAGCCACCTTGTTCTTTTGCAATGTTATACCTTTTCCCTCTTCTGAGAACATGAACAGAATCTAGAAATTTCAGCCCAGATGGAGACGTCATTGTATTTGTGCCCTGCTGGCTGTCACTTGAACCTGAAATCTCATCTTGTGAAATGCCTTAAATTTCACCTAATCAGTTTGTAAGACTTTTTGTTTGAAAAGGTGGAAAATTCTTCAATTCAATCTTCATTTTGGTATCTCAGTTCTTAAAAAGGAAACACCTTCCAAATTTAAACTAAATTTGAGAATGTTCCACAATTCTGCAGGTCTTTACATTTTAGAACAAATGGGTTTTTCCGGCCACAACTTTTGTTCCTCAGACATCTATTCACACCTGGAGGTGTAGAAGCAACATCATTTGATTTTCCCCTCTCAAGCCAGGGGTAGTTATAGCCCCAACTGCTGCCCCAGCTGAGATTGGCTAACACAGCACAGCTTTGTGTCTTTCAGGTGTGTATATAGTGGTCACCGATGGGCAGTACTGTACATATTATTTGCACAAATGTATATAATCAATATATTTCAACTCCTACTCTCCTGAACCTCACGGGATGATTCCACAAGTACCAGATATCCTCAGGTACCGCACCTAAATGCCCGTTATTCACATGTCCTATTGACAAGGAATGTTAGCAGAATATTTAAACAGTGAGGGACATTACAGCTGACTCCAATCCTGTCTACACATCTTCTGACATGGGATGAGGGGTGGTGGGGGGTAAGTGGACATTGATTATTAATACAACCCTGGCTATTATCCCTATCCTAACAGATCTGCAGAGGCCAATTGCCCAACTGAGATCAGAGCATATGGGGATTGCTTCTGGTCCTCAAGGCTCAGCTGCTCACAGAATAAACTCACTGAGCGAAACGAGAGAATCTCCTCTCATTTCGAATGGGTCATTCTGATTGGTTTCTTTTAATATTGTCAGACGTACTGGCTGACTCAGCCTTGGATATTCTCACGCGAGGTTACGCACAAACACTGTATGTTTGACATGAGATAAGGCGTTGAATTAAAAATGAAAGATAAACTCCACCGAGAAGAGACTATCTTCAAAAAACACGTTGTGTGTAGGCAGTTTTGTGCGGTCAGGCTTCTCTTCGGAAAATTTCCTGAGTTGGAAATTTGGGGGAAACTTCCTGTGTATAGGGGACCTTGCAGGGAGGCTGTGACACCTCTGAAACCACAGCCTGAGCTTGCAAACGAAACTGCCTGCAAGAGGACCTTGTGGCCAGGATCTTGTGAGTTGTATTAATTTCACTTCGATGTTTTAGATTGTGTAGTCCACATTCAGACTGCAGGGAAACCTTAGATGTCTTTTGAAACAGACTCTTGAGTTTCTCACTTTTGGCAGAGGGCAATTGTTGTTTGTGTAGCCCATTAAGTTTTGAAATGTTTGTGGCTCTATGAGCAGAGATGAAGTGATCTAGTCTGCAATTACAAAGACCAACATATAAAAATAATAAAAAATAATCCTTGCGTCTGATACAGCGCCTTATCATGTCTTTGAGACGTCTCAAAGCGCTTCACAGAATATACTGTAAAATGAATTGATTGTATATTTTGTGGGTGAAACGTCCTATACATTTATATAATGGAGCTTGCTTGGGGGAAACAGTGCTCTTTCCCTCAATTCTGTTCCTTCTTAAATCCTTTTATTATGAAAGAAGCAACTCTACTCCAGCACAAAAAAATAAGGGACTTTGGGTGAGGCGTTGGTGGGCTCCTCTCATGTGTGAGCCTGGGCACTGAATGGCTGTGAGCTATTGACTTCTTGAGACACGTTTAGTTTCTTATATTGAATGTGTTTGGAGTGAACACGCTCACATTGTTTCACAAGCAACTTCTTTGAAACTGGCCTAAAACATATCACATGTCGGATTTCCAAATCACTGGACTTGACTTGCGATTCCACATTTTGGCTCCCTGTTACTGGTTTTTACTGAACAAAAGGCCTCAGAGGAGCTAGTATACCGTCAATCAACAGTTTTGAACGCTGAGAGCCAGAGATTCAAAGCAGCTGTCTGCTTTCACAGGGCATGGGGGCGGTAATCGTCTGAGCTAGGCTGTTGGCAATCGGGTAATCGGCAACAGCCTGACTCAGATATGAGCTGTGTCCATATCAGTTTCTCAGCCACCAAAAGAGAAGGAATTTTCGTCACTTCCCGTTCATGTAGTTCCTGAAAGATTTTGTCCCTTGTCGGACTGCAAGTGAATCTAGTCAGATCTGCACAATATCCATCGTTCATTCAGTCCTATGAGTGGAATGTTTCCGTGATCCTGTTCCAAGGATCTCTGTGCAGTAACGAGGTATTGACTTTTAGTGCAAATTGCAGGTTTCAAAATTATGGAGATTTTTGCAAAGCTGCAGGAAAATTGTTCACTCTAGATCAGGGATCAAATGTCTGGGGACATGAGTTTTAAAAAAAATCATGTACAACTGTTCAAAACAGAGGTTTGTGGAATAACTTAATCTGTGTAACAAAATTGGTTCCGCAAGCAAGTACAGTGATGTGATTGAGAGAGATTGTGAGAAGCTAAGGAACAGATAAAGAGGGGTGACTTTGTTGGTCCTAATGTCTTTTCTGTCTAAAGTTTGCTTAAGTAATCTTTTCTTGGGATAGGAACCTTAAGAGGAATTTGCTCTGCCACTGTATTTAAGCGTTGTTGCAAACTATGGAAAAGGAGGAGCTAATGAATGAACCCTGTTCCATTTTGTTGGATGAAGAACGCTTAGCCAATCAGCCATGAAGCTTTGTCCCTCAGAGAGATCTGTGTGCACCAGAAATCAACACAGTGGACTCCTCAGTCAGCATTTGGTGCTCTGCCCTCCAGAGCAGCCAGTTTTCCCCAGAGCAAACCAACTCGATCTCCCATTGCTTTTCTTTTAGCACTTAGACAATTGCGTAAATTGTCGGGCGTGTGTTCTTGAACCAGAGAACACTTTGTTAGGACTAATCACTAGTCATGGACAGTCTCCATTCCCTCTGGGCTGTCTTCATCTTTGGCTGGGATTGATATTAATCCAACACTCCTTTTCCCAGGTTTACAGCCAGTCTTCTGGAGCCGGGATGATGTGGGCCAGTGGCTGAAATGGGCGGAAAAGGAATATTCCCTGCGCCCGATTGACAGCAACACATTTGAGATGAACGGCAAAGCTCTATGCCTATTAACCAAAGAGGACTTTAGGTACAGATCCTCTCATTCAGGTAAATAGCTTTTATTCAGTTCAGCCCTTCCGATCACTGATAATCTTTGTGCAGAGGAAATGGCAACAACTGTGGCCAGTGAGTTCAATAACTCGACACACAGTGCCTGACTTTAATAACTAGCTGGCAACATGTTATAAATAAGAAATTAAATTGAAGGTGTGTTCCTACAAAGAAGGTGGTTTCTGAGGCTAAACCTGAGCTAAGGTTGACTATCAGTGACCTTGCCAACAAGCCCCCTATTATTGAAAAGTAACTTCCCTCAGGGATGTTTGTGAAACCTTGCCTTGCACAAAATGACGGCTGAATTTGCCTGCAAATGTATTCACTCTACTTCACAGGAATTACCTGTGAAGCATTTCGAGATGTTTTGAGGTGATAAAGTACTGTAAAAAAAAAAAAGTTTTTTTTCTATTTCTTTTTCTTTCTCCCTTTCCCTCCTCAGCCCAAATTATTCGCTGTAAATGCGATTTGGTGTTTTGTGCACATCATTTCACTGGGATCATTTGAATCATAACTTTCATTCAACCCAACCCTCAGGAGATGTTCTCTATGAGTTACTGCACCACATCCTGAAGCAGAGTGAAGCACCCATTTGGTACCCGCCGTTCCTGCACCCTGGAAGGAGCCTGGAAAGCCCACCCCAGCTTAGCCAGCACAATCATCTGCAAGGTGAGCCTGACAGCAGGAAGGTGAGTCAAGTGACATAAAGGTGCAAGGTAAGATGCACCAGGTGATCGCCTCTCAGCCACACAGAGCAGGTTGCAGATTCCTGCCCCATGGTGTAAGCTTGGGATTGTCAGTGAAGGAATTCTTGGTAGTTCATCGAAATGTTTTCACACAGAGATTTATCAGAATATGGAATTATTTGTTCCAAGTGACAATTGAAGCTTAGACTGTGACAACAATTAAGCGGGAAAACAGGAAACGAGCAGGATTCGAGTGGTTGTCTCCGGTTGCTGAACATGAACAAATTGAGTCTCGATGGGCTGAATGGTTCTTTCTATGCTGTAATGTCAATGCAACAGTTGAGGGTACAATTGGCGTCAGTACCTTAGGTCAAGGGAGGATGAAATCGTCTCGCGTTCTCGTTCCCGATTGCCATTGTTGCATCTCTGTGGAAAGGATTGGGCCTGGCTGAGATGCCTTTTGGCAGCCTGCTGATACTCATCGTCTTATCTCATAAATGAAATACTGCTGCATGAGTCATCCAGGGGATTTGGGAAGAAAATAGGGTTGAGGAAAGGAATGATAACCTGGGCCAATGGAAAAAGTGCATGGAAAAGTGAATTTTTTCTGTGGAATCCACTATAAACAACGCATTCCGCTATAAACCCGCTAAAAAATTTAGTTTTGGGCATTCGGGCCTCTCACGCTCTTTATCCAACATTACTGTGGGTGGAGTGTCTCTGGACGTGCATGGGCGGTGTGGCGCAAGCGGGAAATTCGGAAGCCCCTATGTTGAGATTGTTTGTGTGTCTTTATGTGTGTGTGTGTGTGTTTGTGAGTGTCTCTATGTGAGTGTGTGTCTCTCCTCTGTATGTGTTTGTGAGTGTGTCTGTGTGTGTATGTGTTTCTCTGTCTCCTGTGTGTGTTTGTGTATGTCTCTTTGTGTCTATGATTGTGTGTTTCTCTCAGAGAATGTGTGTCTCTCTGTGCCTGAGTGTGTATGTCTCTCTCTGGGTCTCTGTCTCTGTCTATCTGTGGTCCCAGGCCCTGAGAGGCAGAAGGTGGTAAGCTCCTGTAGCCCCGCAGTCAGGACATTGGTCCTGAGTATCTGTTTTTTGGCAGATCTCCAGGACCTTTGGGCCTGCACTGGTGCCCTCCTCCCAACTCCCAAGGTTTGACAATCCATATATTCTACATTCATTCTTAAGTTGACTTGTGCAGAAATGCACATAACACTTTTAGCCAGTGCAAGCATCCAGAACATGTTGCTTGGTGCCATAGATGCATGCATTGGGTTGAAATGGAAATTTAGTTCAGGAAAAACATAAGTAATGTTCAGAATGGAGAGAGGGGGGGAAGAAGTAAGTGAGAGCTGTCAATTCTGTCCTGAGGTCATTGGATACTGGTGCATGGTGCAGGTTCACTGTTACAGGAAGCAAGACAATTTATTACATTGCAGCCCATTCCATATGCTGGCATTCGGTTTAAACTTTGGACAGCTTGTTGGCTGATCCACTGATCACTGTTGATTCTTCTTTGCTGGAAAAGATAGAGCAGCGTAAGCTTTTTAAGCATTCTTGAGTGAAGGATGCTGTGTAAATGCAAGTTGTGGTTAATCACATCCTGATTCTCACGTTGTCCGACTGAACATTTACTTCAACCATTAATTATGACAGATAGGATCGTTGATCATATAATCATGGAACGTGACAGTGCAGAAACAGGATATTTGACCATCAAGTCTGCATTTTTTCTCTCCATTTAAACTGCCTCATCTTATTATAATCACACTCTGTTGCTCGTTCCTCATAACTTTAAATATTCCTCTTTTTCAAGCATTGCTCTTACAGCACTTTAAAAATATTTAGAATTTCAATTCAGTTTGTGGCAGAGAATTTCATATTCCCAGAATCCTCTGGGTCACATTTTGTTTCTAATCTCTTCTTTAATTCTTAAGTATGTACCTCTTTTAACTGACTCACTGACCAATAGAAATAATCTATTTCTATTTTCCTGTCAGAAACCTTCATAGTCTTGAAGACCTCTACTAATTTATTCCTTTAACTTTCTTAGCTATGGTGACTCCTTCAGTCTCTCGATCAATGAAACCCTTCATTTCTGGCCATATCCATTAAATCTATTCTGAACCTTTTCCCATTGCATTGATATCCTTTGTACAATGGGATCTTTGAATCCTAAACAAATACTTTGTTCAGGGCTGCAATGATAAACACAGCAGTAGGAGGAACTCTCATTGTTTTGAATTGGGCTTTGGACTTGTTGAACTGCCAGTGGGATGCAGAGATTTCACAGTTTCACTCTGGCTCATTGCTTATTAACATCTTCTCTCCTGCCCTAGATGTTGTGCAAAGGAATTCCAGGCCCTCAGAGCAGAGCAGCTTCCGTTCGCATCATTCACTAGAACCCTTCCAGCGATTGCTTCAATCCCCATCAGAGAACCATAACCGGCCATCTCCAGAAAGCGAGCGTGAAAGCTGCCACCAACTCCTGCTGCCAGCCGATCGAAACCAAACACCAAGGTCTCAGGTGGAAAACACCCAGAATTCTTCCCCTGATATGGAGCAAAGACTTTCCATTTCACCAGCAGATGAAAACCATTGCCCCCCTGTCTCTGAGCACATGCTCCCGGCCCAAAGGCGGCCCAACTCCTCACAGGAGAACTCCAGAGTGATCCAATTAATTTCTACTTCCATGATGAACCCGCTTATCCTCAGCAGCAGGCAGTCAATTGAGTTTAGGCCAAGGCTGCACGACGAAACTCTGTACAAGGAGAAACCTCTAAACCTCTCACACAGGGAGGAACTGTTCTACAGAAACCATATCGTGCTTCCCATGTCAGCTCAAGAAGAACCTGTCATGCCAATTGGAAGGATTGCAGGTAACAACAAAAACAACTTGTATTTATATAGCGCCGCTCACGTAGGGTAGTATCCCAGAGCGCTTGACATTGGCGGAGCATGACGCGAAGTCGGGAGGGGGAGATGACCATAGCCATGGTTGAAGAGGAACATCTTCAGGTGCGACCTGAAGATTGGAAAGGAAGGGGCAAGATGGAGGGATAGAGGAAGAGTGTTCCAGAGTTTTGTGGCGTAGTGGCTGAAAGTGTGGCCACCAATGGTGGAAAGGAGGGCACGAGGGACATGCAGAAGGTGGAGCTAGTGGAGCAGAGGCAGCGGGTAGACGGTTGGAGGGTGAGCAGGCTGGAGAGGTAGGGAAGTGCAGGCGCATGCAGGGATTTGAAAACAAGGGTGAAGATCTTGAAATTGATTCTTTCAGAAATAGGGAGCCAGTGGAGCCTGGCTAGAGCCTGGCTAGAGCTGATGTGATGTGATGGAGTTTAGTCAGGGTGATCACAAACAAACAACTTGGTTTTATATAGCGCCCTCCATGCCGGACGGCGTCTCAGAGCGCTTCACAGTAATGGATCCCGGGGCCGAGCCAGGGGGAGGGGAAGGAAGGTGACCAAAGGCGCGGTCGAAAAGAAAGGTCTTCAGCTGAGACCTGAAAGTGGGAAGAGAGAGGGCGAGGCGAAGGGAGTGAGGAAGGGAGATCCAGAGCCTCGGGGTGTAGTGGCTGAAGGCACAGCCGCCGATGGTGAAGCGGAGACTCGGGTGACAAGGAGGCCAGACCCGGTGGAGTGAAGGCAACGGGGACTGTTGTGGGGAGAGAGGAGGTCAGAGAGGTAGGGGGGTGCAGAGAAGTGGAGAGATTTGAAGACAAGGGTGAGGATATTGAAGTCGATCTTCTCTGGGACAGGCAACCAGTGCAGTCTGGCAAGGACTGGGGTAATCGGGGAGCGGAGTTTTGGATCAGTTGGATCCTGTGCATGGTGGAGCTGGGGAAAAGGGCAAAGAGGGCATTTGGGAAGTCGAGTCGGGAGGTGATGAACGCATGAATGAATCTTTCGGCTGTGTCTGGGATAAGGTATGGTTGGAGGTGGGTAATGTAGCGCAGGTGGAGAAAGGTGTTCCTGGTCAGAGGGGAATGTGGGGAAGGAAGGACAGGTGTGGGTCAAACCCGATGCCTAGGTTATGCACCGGTTTGGTGAGTCTGAGGGATAGGCATGAGGAGGTCAGAGCCGCAGGACGGAAGACGTTGAAGGGAGCCAAGGAGTACAGGTTCCGTGTTGTCGACATTTAATTGTAAGAAGTTTGCACTCATCCAGGCCCTGATGTCTGCCAGACAAGCATGGGTGGATCTGGAGTCACAGCTGGAGGAGGAGAAGTAGATTTGTGTCCGTATACATGTGGGAGTTTACCCCGTGACTGTGGATGACATCGTCGAGAGGGAGTATATAGATGAGGAAGAGGAGGGGGCTAAGGATGAAACTTGGCGTATGCCACAGGTAACCAGATGGGGACGGAAGGAGAAATTGTTTGAAGAGACAAAGTGAAGGCAGTTTGTTACATAGGACTCGAATCAGGCTAGTGTGGTCCCACAAAGTTGGATGAGAGACAAGAAAGGAATTCAACTGTGGATATTCCCTCATTGGAACTGATTTTTCTTTGTACCCTGTGATATATTTGTCTTTCAAATTATAGATATTTCAGCACACTTGGAGCATGATGCCTTACATTGGGGTGTCTCTTCTCAATAACCAGGTTGAGGGAAAAAATGCAAACCACTTATTATTTCAAATACCAAACAATGCAGGGCAATGAGTTTCTTTACGTATACAAAATAGCTCCATCCCACAATCCCTTCACCTTGCTCCCTCCCTTGCCTGCTTCAAGGCACCACTCAAGACCCTCCTTTTCCACCTTGCCTTCAGCCGCCCTCCTACCTCTCTGCCTTCCCACATCCCAACCCTGCTCCCCCCCACCCCCTCCCCCCCATGCTCGGGTCCTGATCTCGACTGTTCACTGCCTTGGGGCATCCTCCCGGTGTGAAAGGTGCTTTACAAATTGGTATGATGCAGAGCTGTTATAGCCCTGGAATGTCTGAATAATGGGTAATGGGACATCATTTAGTATTTCTAAAGTGAATATATTGGTGAACTGTTCAATTCTGCACAGTGCATTTACTTACAGAGTCATCACATGAGCTCTGAAACAGTTTGTGCTGGAAACCCACAGGACAATGAAACCTCACTGGTTATGGGTGCCTCCAGCATTTTTATTTGGGTTTTGGACACCATCAATTTCAAAGGAAAGCACAGACTGTGGAAAAACAACCTATACACATGGAAACCTTATTATAACAATACCTCAGAGGCCATATTGTAAAGTAAGTGCTAAAAATGGTTGACTTTGAGGTAGTCAGATGTCAATGCAGCACAAAGGAGGTCACGTTAGCAACAACCTGATAACCCAGAAGCTGGTTATTTTTTCATACAGGAAAACAGTTGCACCGTGCATTTCAGGTCCATGCAGATCCATTGTAGTCCTGCACTCAAAGTGAGGCAGCGCTACCCAGGGAGCATTCTAAATATCTTTGGAATATCCATGAACACAAAATGCCCACGTTACTTTTCAATGTCTTGTCTCAATTCCTTTGCCTCCTGCATGTTGTAGCTGGGCCACGCCTGTAAGCGCCCTCAGGAAATCAGCATTGTGCAGAAGATGGCTCTACAACTCTTTATATTCAAAGCTTTTGCTAAAATAATACACCTCATGGAACCTCATAGTGTAGAGTGTTGCATTTCATCTTGTTAAAATGATTGCTCCTTGTTATTTTATTAAAAATAAATAATCCTTGCATTTGGAATAGAGGTTTATATCATAAAATGTTTTGGGATAGAAACATACCACCAAGTCTGCTTTGGTGTTTTTCTCCACATGAGCCAATCCCACTCTGATCTAAGACGACAATCCAATGCATTGGGGTCAGAGGTGCCATCCCTTGGATGACACGTTAAACCAAGGTTTATTCAGGTAGACATTAAAGATTTCATAGTACAGCTCGAAAAGCAAAAGGAGTTTCTCTCCCGGTGTCCTGCCCAACAATTCCCCCCCCCAAATTGATCATTCGTTTCATGGCTGTTTATGGAACATTGCTCTGCACAACTAACTTGCTGCATTCGCCTACAAATACTCAGTCACTCCACCTCACAGTAAATCCCGTGAAGAGCTAGGATGTCCTTCCGACGTGAAAGGTGGCGTAACAAATGCAGAGATTATTATTCTTTTTTTAAAAAAAAAGGACTCGAGTAATGTTTGTGGCAGAGAATTCTACACTCTGTGAAATTTGTGATGATGAAGTATGTGTTCCTTGTTATAACTTAACACAAAAATATTTGGAAACGTTGAAACAAGTTTATTTCCCTTCTTAAATATTGATGATGTAATCTCACCTAACTCAGCACAGCCCACTGGTGCAGACAGACCTGCCAGTCGCCATCTTGAAATGTCCCCTGCTGTAATCTGTGGTTATTAAGCAGATTTACGGGGGAAAATAAAGGAAAGACGATTTAATGATCTGCAGCGTTTAGAGTCGCTGTTAGGCTTGCCAACTGAGTTTTATATTGCGGATTCGCTTGGAGTCTACCATTTTTCCAAGGCCATATGGAGGAATTCTTAACTCTCAAGTTGGCAATGAAGAGACTTAAGTTTTCCTGAGGTTATCGATTGGTTCTTTCACCCATATATTCTGGGATTAACAATCCTGCGGAGTGCATGAGAGTTACTCCAACTGATGGTGGTTCTGTTTTTCTGTATTGATCCTGCAGTTAAAAGATCTAAACTGCTTGGTTCCTGATTCAATTTACAATCCTGCTACATGGAACAAGTGTACTTGTGTGAATATCGAGTCAGGTCAGGATCTGCAGGAGCCCACATGAAACCCACCAACTGCTCCCTTGACCCCATCCATACACCTCTACTCACCTCCCAACTCCACCTCCTTGCCCCCCTACTAAAAGACTTTGTTAAGCTCTCTATGTCCACTAGCATGGTACCCATCCTCCTAAAGACAGCCGTCATCACCCCTACCCTCAAAAAACCTTCCCTTGACCCATCTCTGCTCTCCGCAACTACTGTCCCAATTCAAATCTTTTCTTTCCCAGCATTCCCTCCAATCTGGGTTTTGTGCTGCTCACAGCACAGAGACAGACTTGGTCAAAGTGACAAATGACATAATTACTATTCATGGCTGCACTCTTCACCTCACCGAATCAATCCGAAACCTTGGTGTCCTTTTCGACCCTCAGCGATCCTTCAAACCCCGCATTCGTGCCGTGACCCGTTCCGCCTTTCCTCATCTCCACAGTATTGCCTGTCTCTGGCACTGCCTCTCAGCGCAGGCTGCTGAGACCCTGATCCATGCTTTTATCACATCCTGGCTTGACGACGCCAACTGCCTGCTCGCTGGACTTCCCAAATCTTCCCTCCACAAGCTGCAGATTATTCAAAACTCTGCAGCTCGTGTCCTCTCCTGCACCAGGCTCTGCAAACCAATCATCCCTGTTCTTATCTGCTTCACTGGCTCCCCAACCCTCAGAGGATCGAGTACAAAACTCTCGTTCTTACCTTTAAGAAGGTATGGTCTCTCTGACCTCTGAACCCAATATCAGCCCGTCTGCTTCCTCCGCTCGGCGGACACCTTCCTGTTTCAGGTCCCCCGCATTTCCCGCCCCACCATTGGTGGTCGGCCATTCAACATCTTTGCCCCCACGCTCTGGAACTCTATCCCACAATCCCTCAGCCTCACCCCTCTCTTGCCTCCTTCCTTCAAAGATCTTCTTGTCTAAAGATCTTCCACTTCGACCGTGCCTTTGGCCAACCTGCCATCCCCCCACCTCCTGCTCTCCACCCCTCTTGACCCCAACTCCCAGTTTGGGTCCAAAAAACCCTGACTGTCCAGTCCCTGGGACGTCTTTCCGATGTGAAGGGTGCTGCACAAGTATAATTTGTTGTTGCTGTGATGCCCTCATGGACAGACATGTTGCTGGCACCTACCAGCCTCATAAATGAACTTGACAAAGCTGTTGTGTCTGTGGAGCCACATCGCAACACTTATTAGTTAGGACGCTTTTGAACTTTTTTAAATGATACAAAATGATACACATTCAGGCTCTAGCCACTGTAAATTCTGCTTGGGGAGATAAACTGTCCATCTTTAATAAGTCAACACAGTAATTTGAGTACTTTACTTGATCCATGACAGACTGCAGACTTCTGTGGGACTACGTGTACCAGCTACTCTCTGACAGCAGATATGAAGCTTTCATCCGATGGGAGGACAAGGAGTCAAAAGTGTTCCGCATTGTGGATCCCAATGGACTTGCACGGCTATGGGGCAATCACAAGGTAAGAGTGAAAGCAGGTTGGAAATGTTGCTGCTTCATGTTGTTGTGTTTTGACGAGCTGCTTTTTCTAAAAAAAAAAGTTTGGGCAAATTAAGAAATAGATTTTGTACCAGAAAATAGGAAAAGACCCAAGTTGAGAATTAATCCTAAAGACATAGAAGCTTACATTCTTATCCAGAGGCAATGCTGTCCGCCAGACTTCCGTTTGAATGTCAGTAATGTTTCATAGTCTCTTGTCTGCTGGGTGTGTAGTATTTCAAAGACATCAGGGATTTTTATCAGGCAGGAGCTTCCCCTTCTGAACCCACAAGTTTCTAAGAAATTATTGCAGTATTGCACTCCTGAATATTCCCTGGCCTAGACACAGTATTCGGTTGACAAAACATTAGTTGCCTGGGTCAGGGTCTAACCACGATTCCCTTCTTAGACACATGCAACACCAATTGCAGGCTTGCATTCTTGTATGCAAGCCCTTAATAATAATAGTAATAATAATAATAATCTTTGCATTTGATACAGCGCTTTTCACGTCTTCTAGATGTCTGAAAGCGCTTCACAGAATATACTGTAAAGCGAATTGACTGTATATTTGTGGGCGAAATGCAGCAGCCAAATTGCAAGCAGCAGAGTCCCACAAACAGTCGTGGATTCAAGTGACCAATTTATTATTTTTTTCTTGCGGGATTATTATTAGGCGTGTGGAGTAGGGAAACTTGCCCAAGATTTTGCCCTACCGGGAATCAAACTCAGGTCTCTTGCTTGAGAAGCGAGTGCTCTAACCACTGAGCTACAGGACTCATTAACCAAATGAGAAGTTTATTTTAACATTTAACGGATTGTCATAACCAGTAGGATTCCAAATCCTCAAATATGGACACACGTGTGAGTCCAACAGCTAAGTTAAACTTTTAGTTTTACTAGAAATCCAAGTGTGGAGAATGGAAATGAAGTGACTTGTAGGTGAATTTTAAAGAAGAACTTCCTCCAACTCTTTTAACCCTTTCATAGAATCATAGAATTATGCAGCACAGAAGGAGGCCATTTGGCCCATTGTGCCCGTTCTGGCTCTTCGAAAGAGCTATACAAATTAATCTCACTCCCCCGCTGTCTCCCCATAGCATTGCAAATGTGTTCCCCCCAAATATTTATCCAGTTCTCTTTTGAAAGTTGCTATCAAATCTGCTTCCGCCACCCTTTCAGACAGTGCATTCCAGTTCAAAGTATTCAGTGAACAGGTCTGCCCAGGTGCTGGTAACGTGCTCATGTTAACACATTTTACAGACTACTTTGTTTTCCAATCGCATGAAAAAAGAAATTGGGCAGCTGGATGCCTGACATATGTGAAAACCCATGTTTAAGAGTATCCAAACCAAACAGAGTTTTGTATATGTACACCAACAACATGTGGAAATTGTCTCTGTGTCTGGGAAGGAATATGCAGTCTCCCTGGAGAAACACACTCTGCTAACTTCAGAAGGGGACAAGTTGGTGCGAGCCAAGGACCGGGGGCGCAGAGTGTGCATTGGGACACTACTGTAGTTCAACCAGTTGAACCACATAATTTGGCATTGAGAGCACTGTTCCTGCTAGTTGTCCAGCCAGTTCTACACTACCCATTAAGGCCTTAGCTTGCAGGATTAACAGAGCTGAGTGGGAAGAATCCCTGCCACAGTCTGCCTCTCCAAGGCATGCTGGACTCCTAGTTTAGGAACAAGACTGTATGTGAAATACAAATACACCCCCTAGACTTCAAGCTTGCTACTTCAGCAGGCTGTTTCTGCCTTCATTGCTTTCAGGCGAGTATTATTCAGCATGATGGTTGCCCCTTCAATTTTTTAAAAAAACTATCTTTATCTTCTTTTAAACTTTATCCTTGATCCATTTCAGAATATTTCAGTTTCATTTAACTTTCTGGTGATTATCTGGTGTACACAGGATCAGGCTAGAATGTGGAATGTGGAATTGCCGATACTAGCGTCTTGGATGACACATGAAATAGATGCACTTGAACGAGGTAGTGAAAGAATGTTTGGCACCTGTGGACCCATACCTTGCCTTGGAGGAGGGGAGAACAATGTTTTAATGACGTGAAAGGCTCTATATAAATGCAATCTGTTGTTGGTGTTGCCCGTGTTTTAGTTAGGTAAAAATAAAGGATATAATTTGAACTTGCATTGAACACAAGATGTCAGCTTGTTTCAGATGGTACCACTTTCGCCTCTAGATTAGGCAATATTGGGTACAAGATTCTTTTTGGAATTTGATTATCTAGTTAAGCTTGACACCCCAGATCCAGAGGCTGATGATTTTCTGAAATTTTTTTGTGGAACAGAACAGGACAAACATGACATACGAAAAGATGTCGAGGGCACTGCGCCACTACTACAAACTCAACATCATCAAAAAGGAGCCCGGCCAGAGGCTGTTATTCAGGTACTGTCCCTTGCTCTAGTGGTGGGGGTTGAGAGGAGGGAGGAGAATATGCGTAATCAAATCACACAGCATCAGTGACAAGGCATACATTTGATCACCTCCACTCTCCATTTTTCATCTATTACAGATGACTTGGACTTGCTTATAGGAAGTACAATTTCCAAGTTTCCAGATGATACTAAGCTAGGAAAGGTAGTAAACAATGAGGAGGATAGTAGCAGACTGCAAATGGACATAGACAGACTGGTAAAATGGGCAGACACGTGGCAGATGAAGTTTAATGTGGAGAAATGAGAAGTGATGCATTTTGTGAGGAAGAATGAGGAGAGGCAACATAAGCTGATGGTACAATCTTAAAGGGGGTGAAGGAACAGAGAGACCTGGGAATTCATATAAGTAAATCTTTGAAGGTGGCGGGACAGGTAGATAAAGCTGTTAAAAAAGCATACGGGATACTAGGCTTTATAAATAGGGACATAGAATACAAAAGTCAGGAAGTTATGATGAACCTTTATAAAACACTGGTTAGGCCTCAGCTAGAGACTGTGTTCAGTTCTGGGCACCGCGCTTTAGGAAGGATGTCAAGGCATTGGGGAGGGTGAGGAGATTTACCAGAGTGGTACCAGGAATGAGGGTCTTCAGTTATCAGGAGAGGCTAGAGAAGCTAGGATGGATTATTCTCCTTGGAGCAAAGAAGGTTAAGAGGAGACTGAATAGAAGTTTTCAAAATTATGAGGGGTTTGATAGGGTGAACAAGGAGAAACTATTTCCACTGGCGGGTGGGTCGGTAGCCCGAGGGCACCGATTTAAAACAGTTGTTAAAAGAAACAGAGGGGAGGCGAGGAGAAATGTTTTCACACCCCGAGTTGTTCGGATCTGGAATGCATTGCCTGAAAGAGTGGTGGAAGCCGATTCGATAACAACTTTTAAGAGAGAAGTAGATCATTATTTGGGGAGGACAAGTTTGTAGGGCTATGGGGAGAGCTTGGGGGAGTGGGATTGATTTCGATAGCTCTTTTCAAAGAACTGGCACAGACACGATGGGCCAAATAGCCTCCCCCTGTGCTGTATAATTCTATGATTCTATCTACACATACAATACAATACAAAATTACACTTGTACTGCGCCGTTCAACTCGTGTGGCCATCCCAAGGCCCTGGACAATCAGGGATTTGGACCTGGGCTAGGGGGTTGTGATCAGGGAGAGTGGTCGAAGGTGCGGTCGAAGAGGAGGGTCTTGTGGCGTGCCTTGAAGGAGCAAGCGACGGAGTGAGGCAAAGGAATGTAGGGGGTCTCATGGGTTACTGTGACACACCTCCACATCACGTGTTTTCACCCCCAAGTATGCATTTGGTTTGTTCTTCTCAGGTTCATGAAGACACCCGATGAGATTCTGAACAGTCGTTCAGACAGACTGGAGCACCTTGAGTCCCAGGAGATGGAAGAGCCTCTGTACCAGGATGATGAATGTTGTCTGAGGCCATGTGAAACAACAAACGTGTTTGCCTAAAACATGTCAGATGATTAAGGCTGTTGGACTGCTAATGGCTACGTTACTGACTCAGTGTATGCCCACTGGGTGAGTGATGCCTGATCATCCTCCATTGGGCACTGTAATGGAAAGTCCAGGAAAGGACAGATATCACAGTGGGTCTAAAGTGCAAAATCTGTAACAGGAAGCACATCTAACTGGCTGTGGGTTAGTGTGACCTGAGGGAACTCTGCTCCGGTGAGATCTTCCTGGAGGTATCAGTGTGGAGGTCTCATGGGTTACTGTGACATACATCCACATTACGTGTTTTCACCCCGAAGTATGCTTCTTTGCAATCTTCCAATTTTTACGACAGTTATTCTACTGCACCTTCATCACTTCATCATACTTGTGAGTAACTGTGGTTGAAGGGATCCAGAATTGACCCTTTCACCCAGACAGAGAGCTCCTCTTTTGGAGCATTGGCTGCTGAAGCAGCCTTCACGGCTCAGTGTAGCTTACGTACTGTGATTCATCAATACCTTCATCACATGATCCCTGCACTTTCCTGAATCCGCACGGAACCCACAGCAACGACTGGACTGGGCCACAGCCTGCCAACTGAAATCTGAATCTGGAACTCATGTCTCTTCCAGCATTGCGCTGCTTGCAAGAGGGGAGGAGGTTATACTTTTATTCCATGCACTATTTCCCTTAATAATTTTAACTTGAAATTTTAGCGATTTTTGTCTTCTTAAAAGAAACTGCACAAACCAAATTTGCTGTTTTGAGTTGTACATTTAAATGGCTTAATATTGATAAACCCTTATTTCTTACTAAAAACACATCTTTGTAAATTTCTTTTTTTAAAAAAAAAGCTACATCTGAAATAAAAGCCAATGTGCAGTAGATGTTTATGTTGAAGATCTGGATTTGTGTTCAGCGTCAGTCCAGTCAAATTGAGTGTGGATGGTCAAACCGAGAGATTTGCAGAGGAATTCGCAAATGGTCTCAACCTGACTGAACAACTCTAGCCTGATGTTTCAATTGTTTACGTCAATAATTGGGATAGAGGTTTGACATAGTTCAAGAAATGAATAGCTTGGCTGATATTGTTGAACTGCTCATCTGTAGTTGACAAATCAATCCTCTCACCTCTGGCTCAATTCTCCTGATCTGATCATCCGATCCTCTGTGCTCTGCTCTTTCCTTCTCTTATCTGTGAAAGACCTGCCCCTGCTGTCGCACACACATGGACTTGCCAGAAGGATGGTCGGTGAGGGATGTGGAAATGGAGACAATGTTAAGGTAAATGAATATGTATATATGAGCCTTGGGACATTGGCAGAGGAAACGTTACATGTAACCTGTGCCTGCTGTCGGTTCTTTCCACTTTGGCAAAATTTAATGAGGCCAAAAAATCACGTTACTGGTGGAGAGTGTTCCTGAAGGCAAACCCCAATAGAATTTGCCACACCATCACATTCACTGGCAAACATTTTAGGAATTTGTGATGGGAGTTCCCGATGTCTGATATTCCACCATGCCAGCAAGTGCAATGGCATTGGGGATGTTCACTTTGTTCAATCTGTCTACATGACAATCTTGCCTTATTTGGCTCCATGTGCAGTATTGGACCACCTTTTAATGGGTCCAGTGGTCAGACTGTCTTTATAGTGATCCTGATTGTTTTGTTCGCTTCCTCGCCTGATCATTGAGATTAATTGTTGTGGCCCATGTGAGATGAGCTAACTCACACAGACCTCCCTGTATGTCTGGGGTGGGGTCTGAGGTTTTAAAACAGTTTTGATTTCCAGCACATTATGCAACAAGAGCAGCACCTCAATATGAACCATTCTGCATTTCCAATGTGTAGAAAGACACTTTTTTTTGTATATGTAAGCTTCTCTTGGGGGTTGCTGCTTATCACCGAGAGGTCAGGCCTCTGGAGTGAAACTGTGGAACTGTGGCATTGTCTGTGCCAGGGTTCAGTCTCATTGCAGCCGAGGAGGAGGGGAAGTTTCTCCAGGTGCAGAACTAATGTGCCACTTCCCTGTTGCCCTGGCTGATCCACATTCCTGCTCCTAACATATTGCTGCACCTTGTTTTGCAGGAACTTAACAGGTTCCTGATCAGTGTCACCATTCCACAGTGCTTTGTTGAAATGCAATCAATCACCCACAGACTGGGGGCGTACCCCCTGCTCTGTGTGTGCCAGTGTTACAGAGTATTCAGGCCACATTACTGGGTGTATTTAAATCTCTATGCCAACTGTGAAGTTTTCAGTACTCACACCCAGCAGTATAAGTGTGTAAACCTGATGATGTAATTACCTTTGTTCAGGCTGAGCTTTGTTCTCATTTCTGAGTCAGCCTGTGGTACTTTTTCCAACTGTACTGGTTCCATTCCAGGGCCACATTCAAATGACCAGTGTCTAGAGCTGTGTGTCTGTAATGAGTGTTGGGGTCTGTGTAACTATAATGATAATATTAATAATAATCCTTGCATTTGATATACGCCTTGTCACGTCTTCGAGACAACAACAACAAAATTACATTTGTATAGCAGTCTCACAGCGCTTCACAGAATATACTGTAAAGTGTATTCATCAGCCCTGACATGAAGGGGATTTGCTGCTTTGGTTGCTGACAAAATATACAGCCACAACACTAATCAATAAAAACTTGTAAGATACTTTCAAACGTTGTCCTGTTTTGAAAGGCGCAATGTCAAATGCTACGATAATGTTTTATATCGTGCTCATTCACTGTCAAGCACTGTGCGATTCTACCCTGTGTCAACTATCATTTGGTAATAGCATAAAATCATCTGGGCTGGGGATCTTCAGGTGCTCCAGGGTTGGTGGTTGTCTCGGGGTCTTGAGACTCTCAGTGTAATGCTCTGTCTGGTCTGCGCTTGTATCGGAAGTGTTTCCTTGTCTGCAGTGTGTCCTGGAAATCCCCTTCCTGTCAGGGGCTGATGAATTCCTGCCCAACCACACAAGCTTCTCGTCACTGAGATCAGCTAGAAAGAGGAAACATTCTATTTCCAGCAGGGAGTGAGGAGAACTGTCAGCAGTTTGCTCCTGACTCTGCCTCAGATGCTTCAGCCCCAGCTCGCCATCGCTTTCTCCCTCTTTGCTTCCTGCATTGCACTTCTGGTTTGACTTGCAGTTCCTCTCCCGCTCGTAGTTCCACCATTCTCTTTCTGATTGTCAGCAACCACAGTTTCCTGGAACCAGTTTCAACATGTGGCTAGTATCTGGCTCTCAGTTCGACACAGTCTAATACCTGGGAGCTGCTGAACCCTTTTACGCAGCAGCAAGTCAGGTCTTTCTTATTCATACAGAATTGTTCACCACACAAAACTCAGCGCACCAAATTATCCCCCATCTCACCAGGCTCCAAGTTCCAGATACTAATGTGGAGAAATGCGATGCATGATGCATTTTGGGAGGAAGATTGAGGAGAGGCAATATAAGCTGATGGTAGAATCTTAAAGGGGGTGAAAGGACAGAGAGACCTGGGGGTTCATATAAGTAAATCTTTGAATGTGGCAGGACAGGGAGATAAAAAAAGAATACGGGATACTAGGGTTTATAAATAGGGATATAGAATAAAAAAGTCAGGAAGTTATGATGAGCCTTTTATAAAACACTGGTTAGGCCTCAGCTAGAGACTGTGTTCAGTTCACGGCCCCTCATTTTAGGAACGATGTCAAGGCATTGGACAGGGTGCAAAGGAGATTTACCAGGATGGTACCAGGAATGAGGGACTTCAGTTATCAGAGACGCTAGAGAAGCTAGGATTATTCTCCTTGGAGCAAAGACAGTTAAGAGGAGACTGAATAGAAGTTTTCAAAATTATGAGGGGTTTGATAAGGTGAACAAGGAGAAACTATTTCCACTGGCGGATGGGTTGCTAACTGATTTAAAATAATTGTTAAAAGAAACAGAGGGGAGGCGAAGAGAAATGTTTTCATACAGCGAGTTGTTCGGATATGGAAAGCATTGCCTGAAAGGGTGGTGGAAGCCGATTCGATAACAACTTTTAAGAGAGAAGTAGACCATTATTTTGGAGGACAAGTTTGCATGGCTATGGGGAGAGCACGGGGGAGTGGGATTGAATTGGAGAGCTGGCACAGATGCGATGGGTCAAATGGCCTCCTTCTGTGCTATATAATTCTATGATTCTATTGTTCTATCCCAGCACATCAACTCTGCAAATCACATCTTCAAATATCTTCATGGTCTCTATATGTTATCTATCTGTCTGTCTCTATCTATCTCTGACTCTTATCGATCTCTCTCTCTAGGGAGACAGAGAGCGATAGCGAGATAGAGATAGATAGATAGTTACACAACAAAGTGCACTTATATATGCAGGGTAGCGTCTCAGAGCACATAAAAGTGGTGGAGCCTGACTCCGAACTGGTGGGGGTGGAGGGGTGGCGTGTAGGTCACCATAAGCACGATTGAAAGGAAGGTTTTCAGGCGGGACTTGAAAAAGGGGAGAGAGAGGGCAAGGCGGAGGGATTGAGCGAGAGTGTTCTGGGGCGTAGTGGTTGAAAGCGTGACTTCTAATGGTGGACAGAAGGGTGCAAGGGACAAGCAGGAGACCGGTGCCAGTCGAGTGGAGGCGCCAGGTGGTGGATTACGGAGTGAGAGGGTCGGAGAGGTAGGGAGGTGCCAGGGATTGAATGGATTTGAACACAAGTGTAGGATCTTGAAGTTGATCCATTCGGTGATGGGGAGCAAGTGGAGCCTGGCCAGAGATGGGGGTATGGAGTTTGGTCCAAGTAAGTATGTGGGCTGAATGAGCTGGATTTTTTGAACAGTGGAACTGGGGAGATCGGCGAGGAGTGCGTTTGAGTAATTCAGGTGGGAGGTGACAAACGCATGCACAAGGGTTTCAGCTGCATTTGGGGTGAGGTACGATTGGAGGTGGAGGAAGGCGGTCCTGGTCAGAGACCCGATGTGGGCGAGAAAGGACAGCTGTGGGTGAAACTGGACCCCTAGATTGCGCGCTGGTTCAGTGAGGCTGAGGGATAGGCCGGGGAGAATTAGGAGTTTAGATCTGCAGGAGTGAAGATGTTGATGGGAGCCAAAGAGTATCGCTTCTGTCTTGCCCACGTTCAGCTGCAGGAAGTTTGCACTCATCCAGGTCCTGATGTCTGCCAGACAAGCTGATAGAACATCGGTAGACCCGGAGTCGATGCTGGAGGAGACAAAGTAGATTTATGTGTCATCCGCATATATGTGGAAGTTTACCCCGTGTTTGCGGATGACATCATCAAGAGGGAACATATAGATGAGGAAGAGAGGAGGGGGAATTGAGTGACAAGCAGCTGGGTGGGGAGGGGTTTAAAGCAACAGGTGGTGAACTTCATGCAGGTGATTGTGGTTGAGAGGGAGGAGTGAGAAATGGGGCAAAGGAGTGTAAGGAGTGGGGAGTGGCAGAAGCCTTGGCAGAGGGAGAAGACAGTGGATGGTCTGGGTGGGGTGGAAGGGGACATGGTGGTGGGGAGGACGATGCAGCCAAGTGGATGTTTTCAATCTTTGAGACGAAGTCTAGCACCTCTTTGTACTTGGCGTTTGATGTGAGGATGGAGGGAGCTAGAGGAAGTGCACAGAGGAGGTGATGGACAGTGGAAAACAGCGTCTTTGGGTTGTTTTAGGCCTCCAGCATGACTTTGGAATAAAAGTCAGTTTTGGCCTGTGAAAGGGAGAGGCACTGGGTGCGGAGGTGCTCGAGTCACAGATGGCGGTGAATCATGAGACTGGATTTCCGTCATCTGTGCTTGAGCATCAGGGTTTGTGTGTTAAGTGACTGTTGTACCAGGGGGAGCGGGTGGATTTGAAAACAGCCCTGGAATTCAGGGGAACCAGGGAATTAAAGATTGTGGAGAGACATCATTCAGCAGCTTGATGGTAGCATCAGGATCGCTCTGGGTGGAGGGCCAGAGTGAGAGGAGGTCCGAGGAGGAAGGGCATTTGTGAGGGAGTCAGGTGGAAGCTTTTTCCGGGGCAGAAAAAATGGAGGGCTTGGAAGAGGGGAGAGGGATGCAGGAGGAGAGTGAGATGAGGAAGTGGTCCGAGATAATAATAATAATAATAATAATAATCCTTGCATTTGATATAGTGCTTTTCACGTCAGGAGGACGTCCCAAAGCGCTTCACAGAACACACTGTAAAGTGAATTGACTGTATATTTGTGGGCGAACGCGGCAGCCAATTGCGCACAGCAATGTCCACAAACAGTCGTAGATTGAAAATGACCAATTTATTATTGTTTTTGTTTTTTTGGAGGGATTATTATTAGGCGTGTGGAGTAAGGAAACTTGCCCAAGGTTTCGCCCTGCCTGGAATTGAACTCAGGTCTCTCACTTGCAAAGCGAGTGCTCTAACCACTGAGCTACAGGACTCCACAAATGGCCTTGTCTGTGATGGATAGGTCGTAAATGTCAAGGCCAAGTGTGATGATGAGGTCAAGAGGTAGCCACGGGTTGTGAGTTGGCGAGTTGATGTTGAGAGTGAGGTTTAGGGAGGAGATGAGGGCAGTGAAATCTGAGCAGGTGATGCAAGGGGGAGTTTGGGTGGAGGTCGAAATCACCTATTATGAGCAGGTGTTCAGTGCAGAGGGACAGGGAGGAGGAAGGAGCCAGGTTTGGGGGAGCAGTAAACTAGGAGAATTTTGAGAGAGAGAGAGGAGGGATGGTGGAGGATGAGGTGCTCAAAGGAGGAAAAACAGCAAGAGGAATAGGTGGATAAACCAAGGGAAGTTTGGGAAATGAGGGCCACCCCGCCACCACGTTGGTTGGAGCAGGGGGTGTGGTGAAACGTGTAGCCAGGAGGGGAGGCTTCAACAAGGGGGACGCGTCACCAGGGGAGAGCCAGGTTTCCGTAAACCCAAGAATATTGTAGTGCTCATCCAGAATGAGGTCCTGGATAGTAAAAGCTTTAGTGGAGAGGAAGCGGACATTTTAGAGGGAAATGCAGATAAGTTTGCTGGTGGGGGATGGAGGAGGGAGTTTTATAGGGAGCATTTGGGGTCGTGGGAGAGAAAATACCGTGAAGTCTGAGGAGGAGGGAGAGTTGGAGAGGGTATGGATGAATGAGGGGGAAGAGAAGCCTTTCGGAAGTGGTTGGTGCGAAGAGAGTGAGCGATGGGACAGTTGGAGTGCTGCTCTGGGGCAACCAATGGCGGGAGCCACAATGGGCCTGGCAGAGGATGCCCAGGCTGGAGCAGAGGGAGGTATTGGTGGGGTCCACCAGATAGAGAGATAGTGGTCGATCGATTGATCAATATCTATCCACCTACCTACCTCCCTCCCTATCCATCTAATTCTCTATCTATTTCTCTCTCTCTCTCTCTCCCTCCCTCCCTCGCTCGTACTCCTCAACAACAACAACTTGCGTTGATATAGCGCCACTCACGCAGGGTCACGTCACAGAGAGCTTGACATTGGTGAAGCATGACTCCGAGTCAGTGTGAGGGGGAGGTGACTGTAGGCACGGT